TGAATATTTGCCCCGAGTTCAGTGTAATTTAGACAGGTTCTTGAAGACTGATGAAACATGGAAAGATGGGCATAAAACAATCTGGAATTGATTTTAACTCGAACTTAAAATCACCCAGGGGCCCGGCAAGAAAAATACGCCGGGACGAAGCCATAACCTAACTGCCCGGACCCCAGCAGGTGCCCTCGCGGGCGCCTGACTAAGCTTATGACGTCACGTGTGCTGATCAGTACATCAGGTGTCAGAAGGTGGTTATTTGGGCATTCATGGGTCTACGCATAAACCAGGCTATACCAGCCAGGGGCGTACCAGCCAGGGACACGCCAGGATCACCAATGGACCCCGCCAGGGACCCTATAACTGACCGGCCGGACTGTAAGGGACGGTCGGTACCCTACCGCACCCCACACGGGTCAAGACGGGAGACTGACCGGGCATCAGACGGGTTCTTGACAGAAACCGGCCGTCAAAGGGACCAAAAGTTCGTGAATTTTAAATAGAAGCCGCCTCATGGTGGACATGGAGCCGTAATGGAACATCTATTTGTGACCCTGACAGCCGGCGCACGCTCGGCTTCATGACGCTGGCCGGCGTCTACACCGGGAACATGCCGCGCGGGCCCCGTTTAAAACGTGACTCCAGCTTAACTAGAACAAGAGTTCCACGATCTCATACCTTCGCCAAATGATGTTGATCGGTGGACGAATTATACATTTTTATTCATTGATTTCGCAAATAAGAGCACCGTTTACATGGGTTTTTCCGTTGATCATACTCTCGACCCAATGATAGCCTAATCTTAATTAAGAAAAAAGGCTATTCTAGTACTTCCTCATAAATTATGCAAATATGGTAATGATTTGAATGAATTATGTTTATTGCTGTTCACCTTCACTTAACTTCCAAAAGCGGCAAGTATGAAATTCCCAGCAGTTACATTTTGACCACTCTCGGAAGGTAACAATTTTAACATTTTTAACAATTTTTTTCGAAATCAGACGAAAATCAATGCGTGCTGATGCCATCCATTAAAATTACTTGCTGTGGCCTTATGTTGTTAACTCGTCGTTTTCCAATAATTGAACGTAAATCATCGTGATGGTTATGACGTCTTCCAACACACACAACCCCTCTCTGCACGACCGTCCGATTAGGTTAAGCCGTCCTGATAGATCTAAAGTTTCTCCGTGGCCATCTATCTCTCCTGTTTCAAGATAGCAGCGATTAGCGAGCAAAAATCGACCGATCAGATAAATCAATACCACAGTCAGTGTGATTACCCACTGTCTCTTAAAGCCTGTCATCTGTAGTGCCCGAGGGAGACTACACAGATAATCCCTCGGATTTGCAACGTCCTTCAAACACTTGTAAAACAGAGTCCGTTAACATGTTTCAAACATCAGGGTAAGGACGATTTATTCCTGGGATTTACGTCGCACTTAGCCATTATATCTACGGATTATTCTTAATACTAGACATCAATAGATCCATTCGGACAAAAAGAAGTTGAAAGAAAGGGAATTTCCTAATCCTCGATTTGTATGTACTTGTACATATATAGTCTGTAGCCCCACTGTTCTCGCCAGGATTAATTCTTTTCCCATCATTTCAATTTTGTTTGACGTAATTACCTCCATGAAAATGGAGGTATAGTTTTTGGCGTGTCTGTGTGTCTGTGTGTGTGTCTGTGTGTCTCTGTCTGTGTGTGTTTCCGCAACTTTGTAGGCGGCATAACTTCATAACGCCTTTATGGATTGTGATGATATTTGGTATGCTGATAAGTCTTAGGAAAAAAAAAGGTCAAGGTCAAGGTCAAATATGGGCCTTCTGGTGGATGACCTTGGTACTGCAGCATAACTTCCGGTTTTTGTATCTTTTGTCATGAACATGCTATGGTCTTGACTTTTTGGTGACAGATAGCTTTTCCTGTCAGGAATAAGTGGTGTGGGTTTGGTCCCCCTAGCAGCTTGTTCTGGAACTGCAGGGGACTTTCTGGCGAAATCTTTAAAATCTAATAAGTCCAGATAGGAACAACGTATTTTCATCATATTTGGTGTGTAGGTAGCTGAGATAGAGTTGTACATACTAAAATGCAAATTATGCAAATGAGGACTTAATTTGCATAATAAAGGAGGAAATTCTATAGTTACAGTGTTTAATATAATAGTTCATTTATGGTTCCGGGTCGGAGTTTAATTCTGACCAGAGTCTAAGTAAGTGCGCAGTAAATCGCCGGAAACGTGACTTTGTATGGTATGTTTTGGCCGCGATATCCCTGAAATCGTAATATCTGTGTACATATCTTTGTATTTTCTGAAAAGCCTGTTAGTTGTAGCCTTTATAGGTGGCGTAATGTTGGTGGTCCAGCTAAGACTTCCTGGTATTCGTCCGCGCGGATGGTTATGTGGCCTTTTCGCCTGACCGCCGGGATGGTACGTTCTATATGCGTTCTGGGTGTGTTCGGGCCATCGAAGATAGCGATAAACTTATCGCATCGATTTTAATTAAATTCAAATTTTGGAAACATTAGGTTCTGAGCTTCTTCGAGTACTAAGCCGTTACCCTGGGAAAATTCGTTTTTTCCATGCAGCCATGGTTAAAAATGACGAAAAAAATGACCCCTTTTTTCAAAATGTACTTTGATGTGCCTCATTTACCCCTAAATAAATTGGGCGCAGAAAATATCAATCAAGTGTATTGATAAGCGGCACGGCACCCCTTTCCACCAAAAGAGTGAGAAATTCCGACCCGCGTTTAGTACAGAAATGACAGCCCTTCGGGCTGAGGGTGTCAAATTGCTCGAAATACGGAGGGAAACTCCGGTCCGAGACCTTATACATGTAATCTATTTAATCTGTGGCAGGAGGAACATCAACAGATACCAATTATGCTAATGATGACCTAATTTGCATAATTAATGTGAAACTGTGACTCCTTATTGGTGAATGATGGGAATGTTATACCTCTCGACATGTGTAAGTTACTTAAAGGTTAACACCACTATATATATATTATGTTAACGTAGATGTCATTTGCATAATTAATGAGGACATGTTGAAAGGAAGTATGACAAAGCAAGCCCATATTTCATGGAGGTATGAGATCTCGGAACTCCTGTTGATTGATTGATAACAGGCGCGACGACTTAGGGGAAATGATAAGTATTGACCCAAATTTTGCTGACAGAAGCTTAATACGTATTTTAATGACATATTTTTTTTCCATTTCTTCACACGTCAATAACTAGAACACTGGCTACCAATATATATTTATTGTTGGATATGAAACAAAAGGGAACAATTTTCTTTAGCACAAAAGCAAATGATTTGAAGTTTTGTAATGCACTGCTGTAATGCTGAGTTGATCTGCTCAAATAGGCGCGTGCATTTCTTACGATCAGTTATCATGAAGAAGAAACAATTGTTCCCAATGGATTCCTTATCGTTGATGATACAAAACATCTGGTGGCATTCTAGCCACTAAAACGGTAACCATTCCTCAATTAGGCCACAGCAAGTAATATTCATGGATGACAGCGCACGCGCATTAATTTTCGCCTGATTTTGGAAAAAAAAACAAGAAATTTTGTTGCCTTCTGACAGTGGTCAGCATGAGCAATGGTCATGGTCAGAAAATGAGCAAAGATGTCTGCTGCCATGCCGGAAGGTGGATGGCAGATAACTATGAAGAGAGGAGACAAGAAAAGGCTCTGATTTAATATTTTGTTTCTTACTTTGATGCAGTGATATATGCTGGCTGTGTATATGTGATGTTTCCACTGAATCAAAACTATTTGTACAATGATTGAGTCAAACAATTTAAATGTGGGAACCTTGTTTTTTTCGGCTCGCCTGTTTTTTTTTCGCTCGCTCGCATTAGATTTGGAGTCTGTGGAGGACGTCATCCATAAAATTTACTTGCTGTGGCCTTACGTCCTTTTTGTACCCAAGTCCCTCTGCCACAGTTCATCATTCTGTGATCGCCGGAAGAGGCACATCTGTGCATTTATAGATGGCTTGTTAGAGAAAATCAAATGGTGTAAATCCAACTGAGACCAGTCCTTTGTGTGTAATTATGTAATCGTTCTCTTTAATGTTGTTTCGGCTAATTAGTTACTCCAGGAAAGACGCTATATAAGTGGGCTTGCAACGTTTATTGTCTATTAAAAAGAGCGTGACATTCGCTACAGGCGTATGTCTTTAACTCGCTTGAAAAGCTACACCGAGCAGCAAATACAGTGTTTTCAGAGGACATGACAAACGTTACTTGGCAGCACTACCTAAATACTATAGCTACAAGGGATAGCTTTACGATGTGTATACATGTAAGATATTCCGTGTCACGAATTTCAGTACAAAAAATACGATGGTAATTCCCATACGTTGCATTTAATGTGAATAAAGGATTTTAAGGTGGAACGTTGTCATGTTTGTGATGGGCAGCTGGATTGCAAATGACACTAGTAATTCAGCCTCTGGCCGAGAGGTATTTAATTAATAAACTATTATACGCAACCACATTCCTCTACAGCAAAGGATCTACCAATTCTGTAATCTAGATAATATTGAAGATGAATGCCATTTTGTAGTTGACTGCACATTATATAGAAATGAGAGGGATTCCCTCTGTACTTTTAGATAAGTTCCCAAGCTTTAGCTTTAGGCATTTACCAACACAGATGAGCTTTCATTCGAAGGCTACATCTTTCTAAATATATAATAGATAGAATAGAAAAATTCGAATTTCTCATGAAACTTGACAAACCATGTATCATTAGCTCAATATGTTCTTACATCTTTAACTGCGTCAAGAAACGAGAAGAAGTTGAACCTGTAAATAGTAGATCACATTAGTATTATATAGTATGTAGGTGTCATTGCTGTATCCTTTTCCCTGTTTACCCATGACCTGTACTTAGCTTGATAGAGCACAAACGTACAATAAAGGTATTTTATTCATTCATTGCCGACGAAGAAAACGATTCACGTTTGTTGTTACAGGCGATCAGCGATCAGAAGATAAAGGCTATGAACATGTCGACAGGCCAGCTAACCGTCGCACGAAGGCGCGTTCCTGAGACTGGGTACACTTCTGACTTCCTGGAACATTGGAACTCCTTGTCAGCAAACGTGACGAACAACACTGCAGATAGCGTCTACGATATCAAGGTAAAACAAGTAAAATCTGAGATTTTATACCTCCGGGCTTTTTATTGTATATTTTTATATGTTGTTTGTTATGTATAGTTGATGGTGTTGAATTTTGTGCACAACAACAATTGTTGCGCGCCGCAGGACTAGGGTTTTAAACAAAGAATTTATCGAGACCGGACACCCCTCTGTGCGAGGGGTCATATACGTGGACCAGACCGAGAATATCTTCAACACGCCAAAGGTCAACGGTCGCAACCATTTTCACGCTCAAAGGGGTGTTCTGGGGCCACCAAAGGGAACCGTTTTCACGCCCGAAAACACATAATAAAAACAAAAGAACGTGCATCATATAAACCCCAATGGCAAAACATTCACCGAGTCCCAAAAAAATCCGTCCACCCTAACGCGAGAAACAGCTGCGAACATGAAAATCTAAATCTCTCACAAAACCCTTCCGCGGAAGGATGTCTCCTCCCCCGGAGGTAAAAAAAGAGTAATTGTTAAAGCGATATCATAACGAGCGTGCTATATATGTGAAATTTATCATTGCCACCACTAAGGCCATGTTAATTTGATCATCGTATTAGGTGACATCCTCTGGGAACTTCAAAACTGATGCGAGCGTGCGAATAAAATAAAAGCTTAGCACAAAAGTTGCCTGCATTACGAATTACAAATCTATGTGGTCGTGAAGGTTAAAGAAATGATTAAACACATATATTATGGTATCGCAGAAAACAGACTCTTTCTGATAGACTTTCAAATATTATTTTTGCAATTTACGGCAAGTTATTATTCATTTTTAGCTGCTTTGTGCGATTTACAGTATGGTCAAAATTCTTCTTTTTGGAAACGAGCAAAATTCATGAGCACTGGGATGTCATCCATATAATCAAATCAACATGGCCCGACTAGTCAATTGTTCAACTGTTTCTCACAAAGTTAAAGATATAAATCACGCTATAAGATGGCTGAGGGAGGGTTGCATGGATTAGGGTGGGGGAATTTTTTTTTTTTTATAGTCACTCCATGTCCATAATATATATTACAATATACCCCCTGACCAAAGGGTCTGTCCATTTTGTCCAAAGCATATAGAAAATGAATTTCATTCTGTTATGGAATGTACCAAATATGATGTTATACGTAACAAGCTATTTACATTTCTCGAATCAAGTACCATATATAGATTTCAAGAGTCTCGATGTTGGAGACAGATTTGAATATATCTTTACATGTAATGGTCCCCACAACGCAAAAATAGGTAGATATATAAAGGAATGCTTTGCTATTAGAAAAAATACCGAAACTTGTGATTAGCCCACTCGATTGTAACACTTTATCGAAGACTTGTGCTATCCCTTATTATTTGAATAACTATGATATAGATATGTTAGGTTTTATTCGACATTAGGTCTTATTCAACACACTTATTTTATTGTTGTTACCCTCTTTATGTACGCCATACATTGTACCATGTGCAATTATCGTGCAATAAAGTTTTTTGTTTTCTGTATTTTCTGCAGATGACGGCTCTGTACATGCACGATGCTGTGCTGCATCTTGCCCAGGCTGTGTACGCCTTGTTCAGGAACAGACAGTGGATTGGCCCCAACAAACTAAGGTAAATCTAGGATTCACAATTCTAAGTTATCGTATCGATGTGCCTAAGATGGTGTTATGAAAAGTTATGCATTATCATAATAAAACGTTAGGTACAATGTATTTATATTCTCTGGTTTGATATCATCAAACACAGGTGTTCGTTAGACGTGTCCTTACCATGGCCAGGTGGTGCTTTGTTGATGAAGGAATTCAAAAAGGTATGTTTAATATGTTCGATGTATCGAGCTATATAACGCAAATAGCAATACCTCTGTTTTGGATGTAGTACAGTTATCGTGCAAAATTAGAAATAGGCAAATTCATAGTTGCCGTATTGAAGAAGACTGGGGTCTATCAAGGGGTTCATCCACAGGAGAGAAATGCCATGGAATTAGTGAGTGAGTGAGTGAGTGAGTGAGTGAGTGAGTGAGTGAGTGAGTGAGTGAGTGAGCGAGTGAGTGAGTGAGTGAGTGAGTGAGATGAGAGTGAACAGATATAAAACTGATGTTTTGAAACATACTGAAACATATTCACATTGGAAAGAAGGCGTACTATGTGAAGCATTCTAAAGGATTCAGTTTCATATAAGGGAGTTCAACTAGTCGATTGACCATGTTCTCAGAAACCCATGTATTAACTAATATGTATTTTGTTATATGTATATGTAATATGTATTTTGATTTTGTTTGCCAGCAGTCCGACGAAGGAGGTGTTCTTGGAAACTCCATCTTTGAGGAAGGAAAGCTGCATTCATCACTTAGCTCTAAACTGAAGACACAAGCAATGAACGGGGCAGGAACACTCACAGATACAACTTGGGTAATGCATCTTCACTTCTGTATAGGTTTTCTTTCATGGCTACATTTCCAAACCGGGCCCAGCAGGGTATAGATGTCCGAAACACAACACTGTGAAAATAATAGACACGGGGATAATGTCTGTTTATATTTTTATATGAATTATTTTGATATTTTGCCCAGCCTGGCCCCGGCTTGGCAGTGTGACCCTAGCATTCAATGTACTATTCAGCGTACAAATTGATTGATTCTAGGCGGTTCTGGAATTTAAAGGTCAATCCTATCTATATATGTTTTGTAGGCTCTTGGCCCTCGAAATGTGTCATATTTGGTTGATTTCACATATTAGTTGAATACTGCTACAGTTTGTTTTCAAGGCTCTTGGTCCTAGAGCTACCATTACAGAGTCATGTCTAATTGTTTTCACAAAGTTGGAAACTGCCCTCTGGGGAGACAGCGAGAAAATACGACACTAGTCCATATTGTATAAAACTGTCGTTAAAAGTCTTCACGTGGGCGTCTTGTGATTCCGCCTCAAGGGATCAATGTTAATCTTCAAACAAATCCATATTGACATGGTTCGGAATACTGAAATAGCCGCAAGGGGACTGCTTATTAATTTTTCTATATATTGCCATGGATAACTAGACCGCATTATCAGGTCGTAACGTGACAGACTTGCCCAATAAAGGCAATATAAAGGAACAAGTCCGATATGTGCACAAGGCCAGACGTTAGCTTCAATAAGCCTTCATGATTAATGCAAACCCGTTAAACATGTTAAACTTGAAGTAAGGCCACAGCAAGTAAATTTTATGGATGACATCCTCCACAGACTCCAAATCCAATGCGACCGGGAGAGAAAAAAACAAGGCGGGCCGAAAAAAAAGGGTCCTACATTTTAAAATTTTGACTCAATCACTGTACGTACAAATGTTTTATATTTAGTGGGAACATCACATACACAGCCATCATCACATATCACTGCATCAAAGTAAGAAACAAAACATTAATTCAGAGCCTTTTCTTGTCTCCTCTCTTCATAGTTTTCTGCCATCCACCTTCCGGCATGACAACAGACATCTTTGTCCATTTTCGGCATGGTGACCACTGTCAGAAGGCAACAAAATTTCTTTTTTTTTTTTTCAAAATCAGTCGAAAATTAATGCGCGCGCTTCTGTCATCCATAAAATTTACTTGCTGTGGCCTAACGTAATGTGGCGTATTTGTTACACCGTTCCGTACTTCTGGATTCCTACGTGAACTATCAGCTTGATGAGCATATCGACCTGAACATACGACAGAGAGTCTTGCTCCCTTTAATTCCCCATGATTGAGGGCACCTTGCCAATGTTTATGACTTGTTCCCTCCTTTATCTGTTGTGGTGATAGATGACTGGTACATGGTGTGCTTTAGGCGAACAGTTAAAACATCGGCAGTTTATCGTTCATTCCCAATATTGTCACGACTGCATCTGAATGCAGGATTGCAGTTGTAGATTTGGGACTACTTTCTTTAATGTCATGATGGATTATGTCATGACAATGTCATCTTTCCATGATATATAACGTTCCCATATCATTAACCCTCAAACACCCGAACTTTTTTTTTGACGTTAATGCCCGAACGAGATTCAAATGGACCCCATTTGGTTTCTTTCAAATTTATATTCCTTTTTGCATCCTTTCAGTGACCTTTGCACATATATTGGTTTTGCATATTAAGACGTTTATTTTGGCATGATTAAGTGTTAAAAAATTCCAGCTCATTATCATAATTTGTGCAAAAATAAGATGAGGCCTGCAGACATGAAGATGGTGTTGACCTTTGCCCTCATATGATTGTCAAATTGTCAAACCTCTGAAAACCTGAGTAAATAATTTCTGAGGTGGAGGTTACTTGGCAAACTGCATAATATTAAAGCAATAATGCTTCCTTGAAGACATATTGAGGACATCCGAACAATTTCGTGTGAAGGAAAGTGCAAATACATGACTGGGGTCCATTTGGACCCAGGCGTATGTGCTATTTGTATTTTTTTTTATTTAAAAAAAATCCTCCCGTGACTTTGTCAGTAAACCTCTTCTACAAATGGACCCCAGACGGTCTTACATGAGACTTCAGTTGTTATTTTTACAAATTTGTGCCGATCTCCAAAAAAATTTAGGAGAACTTGTAGAAGAGGTTTACTGACAAAGTCACGGGAGGATTTTTTTAAATAAAAAAAAATACAAATAGCACATAAAAATATACGCCTGGGGTCCAAATCGACCCCGTTCGGGTGTTTGAGGGTTAAAACCAAGCAAGGGCAAATGTAGTGTTCGATTTTCCGTGACAATGTAAACATTCGGACAATTGTGGTATAAACGCGACGATCACAAATGATACAGTCTGTGGTTTCTGTTATATTGTGTCAATTATGTACTACTATATCATCTGTGCAAATCAAAAATATAATCTCATAGCAAATCAAATCACTGCTAAGTCGCTATGTCTGTTTACAGGATTAGAAAACAGTATATTCAGAGAGTGACATATTGTTTCTGCATCTGCCGTTATATATATTGAAATGTATCTTCCCAACGGCGCCACATGAGTTCACCGCTCAAGAGAACCGCATTGCCTTTAAAGGCCTGTAATTTAATATCAAGGCGTCAAACAAAACTATTCTGGATGAAGAAACCTGTCTGATATTGACACTAACTGTCATTTCCTAGCACACTAGCTATTTACGGCGTCTTCTTAGTTTTGGACACTGTCCATACATAGCTAGATGCAGCCTACGTTACAAGTTATCGTTTTCCGTCAGTGACTAGCATTTTTGCCTCATCAATATGCTATGAGATTAGCATTAGGAACTTTGTATATATCATTATCACTACATGACAAAAATCTCCTTTTGCTGCCCTGAAATGATATGGATGTCTTAAAAGAAACCGCTTCATTCAAATTGCTTCTCCAGGCGGGGTGGTGGCCAGCAGACATAATCTCCGAAGAGAACTTCTTTGAAGAGATGAAGAAAAAGTCGGGCATCAAAGGCAGAACATTGAGAGTAGTAACATTACAGGTATGTCTTCTACGATTGAAGGAAGCTCCCTAGCAGAAAAAAAAACACTGTGCCACACTTCCATTATGCTTAGGTCACATTTCCAGGCCGGGCCCGGCCGGGCTGTTTGTATGAACGAAAAATCAACAATTCTTATCAGGAATATACACAAATTGTACTTATGATTATCTTTTAAACTTTTTTTGTGCTCTGTTGTCTTTTGTACCATACTTTTCGTTCCATAAGACTGCCCGGCCGGGCCCCGGTTTGGAAATGTGACCTCAGCATAACCTGTGTTCCATCTAATTAACGACAGCATGCATAAATTAACGATCATTAGATGGAGCAATCAAAGCTGATCCAGTATTAAAGAATGAATTTAATGGAAAGACGTAAATAATGACCAGCCCATATCCATCACTCATCGTCTTTAAGTAAACTCAAGGCAAATTGCTTTTCCAATAAGAACTTATCAGCTGGCTTTGAATCAGTGAAAAACATGGCCATTCGCTTAATAGTAACACGGTTTTCCTAGATCCTCAGATTATCATGAAACTTCATCTGTGTTGGTAGTAATCATAGTAGATAATTAATGACCAATCACTTCACAACGTGATCTCGCGAGAATCACGGTGAATAAAATCTGGTGTTTGTAAACCGTGATTCTCGCGAGATCACGTTGTGAAGTGATTGGTCAATAATTATCCTGATGAAGGCGACAGTGGTCGCTGAAATTTGATCCCTGTACAATTGTGTTTTGGAATAAAGTTCAACCTTTTACTACGATTTTCCTTTTACAGGAAGAACCGTTTGTGTTCAAGACGGATGAGAACGTGTACACTGGATTCTGCATCCAGCTTTTAAAGGAGCTCTCCGCCATGTTGGATTTCGACTATCTAATCTACGAGGGGCCTGATGGGAAATATGGTAGCCTCCAGGAAGATGGAAACTGGGACGGGTTGATGAAGAACGTTATTGAAGATGTGAGTCAGGATGATATCCATAAAAACTGCACCTTTATTTCAAGTTTTAGATCTTCTACGTAACGACCCTTGCCAAAGTTATGTCCCTTGGCTTTTTTCTTTCTCTAATGGTACCAAATCAAATAAAAATTACTGTCACGGAGAACCTATCATGTAACTGTCCAAAAATGTGGTATAAGCACGTGGGAAACTTTGGGGCTTTAATTACTAGTTGTACACAGGGTACACAGCAACCGTTTTATACATAGTATAGTGTACCTAAAGGCGCGGTCACATTTCCCAACCCGGGGCCCGGCCGGGCAGTCGTTTGGAACGAAAATTATGATATAAGACAGCATAACACAAAAAAAGTTTTAGAAAATTAACCATGAGCACTATTTGTGTATGCTCTTAATACAAGTTGTTTATTTTTCGTTCACGCAAACAACCCGGCCGGGCCCCGGCTTGGAAATGTGACCATGCCCTAAAATAAGACGGGTTTAATGGGGATATAACCATAGAAAGCCAGCCAGCAGAAAATACATATCCGTCATGACTTTCTTTGTTGTCTTCATGCCTTACCCTCTTGTAACAACGAAAATGCAGCAGATGTTTTGAATCTTGTTTCAGGAGGCAGACCTAGCTCTGGGCGCTATTCCAGTCACGCCAGACCGGGAAAAGACATTAGACTTCACCAGGCAGTTCATGGAGGCTTCCATCGGTATTCTGGTCAGACAGCGAGCAAAGAAGGCCGACTGGTTAACGATTGTCAAACCGTTTCATCTGAAGGTATATTGCATGTCTCCGTATGTCTCGGTAAACTGATTGTTGTACATTGTCTGTGAAAAAAAATCGGTATCGATAGTTGTAACTTTGTTATCTAAGCATATACTATGGTGAAGATGGCTTAATTTGCAGTCTTCTCCTCCTTTGTACTTCTGTATAGAAGTTTCAACTATCCGGGACACATCACTGGTTAATCGACGCATCGAAGCACTTGATTACGGGATGATTGCATTAGACTTGTCTTTATACAATATTGAAAAACTTGTCAACTATGAATCGATTTCTGCCCGTGAACCTGGCCAGGCGTGCGGCATTAATTGGCATGACTCAGCCAGCGTTTTGATCACCGACAGATGATAAATGATATGCCATGAAATTTTATCCGATGTTATGAAAATTTCAATATTCAATTTCCTCTCCTGTATATAGAATATGACTAAGTAGAAAGTCGATTCCAAGACTCAATAATGTCACGACTTGATGTTCCGTGCAGTTCATTGATGCAGGAATATCCTATTCTATTTTCATAACTTTATAAATGACCAAGTTCTGTAATGATGATATCAGCGTGCATGTGAAAATGTTGCAAGAGGAAAAGTTGACCATAAGTTCTTTTTTGGAATATTGGGTTTAACTTTTTTTTATATTTATGACATTTTTTCCTGTAGGTATGGCTGTGTACGATCGCTGGATTCGCAGTGGTTAGTTTTGCCTTGTTTCTGTTGCATCGAGCTGGAGCCAGCGAAGATGGAGAAAAAATCGTCAAGGACACAACCGAACCAAACCTGGAGGACACGGTTTGGTTTGTGTACGGCACTTCGGTCAGACAAGGTAAGGCTCTTCGTATGTATGTGGAGATATGCAGTGATCTTCTCTTCTAGACTCCACAGTAAAGCCTCGGTCACAACCCGCACGTGCTTTTTGTCCGTACGTTTTATGGGAGGCTACGTCTGCTACGTTTTTTCTGAAAACGTGGGGAAAGGAGTGGCATCGACGCACGTCACTTGCACGTTGCACAAAGTGTTAGAGTGTGATCTGCACGCCAAGTCTGGCCGTGAGCGGTTGCGTGCATCTTACGTTGCGAAAGTGGTGAGTTGTACGTGCTTACAACGTACGATCTCTGTGCGATTGCAACTTTACCGTAAGGAGGCCGAACTCACACGTGGTTCTTCCGCACGGCACGTACGGGGCACGCGCGTCGCTCGTACTCGCACGCACGGGTGGTGAATCCGCAGACCGGCGTGTCTGCGTGCTCCCAAATCCGTAGGATTCCGTACGGAGGTGGTACTCACCACGCACGGATGCCCTACGTTTGCCCACGTTTTTGCACGTAGACAGCACGCAGAAGCACGTACGGCGGGTTGTGACCGTAGCTTAAGAAGTACATATTGTCATTGTAATACGACGTGATCGTTAACATGTGTGAACCAACACTTAATCCTCAATTTACCGAAAATAGTTTCATCAGGTTGGTAAACTTTAAGAGATAGGGGAATTCTTTTTACACAACCAAAGAGTCTTACCTCGCTGAGGTGAGACTCTTTGGTTGTGTAAAAAGAATTCCCCTATCCCTCAATTTACCAGTATTCATTCGTTGTAAGAAGACCCCCCCCCCCAAAAAAAAATAATGAGCCAGACTCAGGTCTACTTTTTACTCTGTTACAGGCGGAGGGATATCTCTGAGGCGACTTTCCACTCGGATCCTGACGGGCGTATGGTGGCTGTTTGTCCTGATTGTTCTCTCATCTTACACCGCAAACCTGGCCGCCTATCTCACCGTCACCAGGCTGCAAACTCCCATCACATCAGTACAGGACCTGTTATCCTTCGGTTCCTACTCGTAAGAAATGGCCCACGTCTGTTTGAGATCTGTATATGCCAGTTTCGTTCTATCGACAATCTCTGTAAATCGTTGTTCTCTCGCGTAATTTTAAACTGTTATTTGAAAGTCGACTTTCTGAACTTATGCTGAGGTCACATTTCCAAACCGGGCCCGTTCGGGCAGTCTTATGGACCGATAAGTAGTATATAAAAGAAAACAAAGCATAAAAAAGTGAAAAAAAAAGAACAATGGGAACTATTTGCGTATATAATAGATATAAGTTGTTGATTTTTCGTCCCGGTCTAGAAATGTGACCTAAGCATTAGCACATAGTTGGCAAATAGCCACGAATAGCATGATAACGTAAAGATGATGCTCTTTATGCCCATCAGCTTTAGCGCACTAGAGCGCAGCAGTGCAGGCCAGTTTCTGTCCGGGTCTGACGCGCCTGTACACCGGCATGTGTGGTCACACCTTGTCAGAAGAAACAGCAGTCGTGTGAAAGAGACTACAGAAGAAGTCCAACGGGTCAAAGAAGGTTGGTGTCCCGCCATCCATCTCGACACGTTCAGTGTATGTCAGTATCACTATTCAACTTTCATCTTTCATCATCTGCCGCTATCTGTGCTACAAGCACAACCTGACACGGGCAACGTTACGCTTGTTCTCCGTTGTAATAATCATTTCTCCCTTCCATTTTAGGGTCACATGGTTTGGTAGGAGACATCGCTGTCATTAAGTATTTAGCAGACAGGGACCCTAGCTGCCAACTGTCTGTGGTCGACATCACAACGCACAACTATGGCTACGGTCTGGCTTTTAAAAACGGTTCACAGTTCACCGAGGTGTTCTCTTTAGCGTGAGTATCCTTCCTTGCCTTCAATCTGCTTCACTAGATTCAATCTCTAACACCCAACACTAATCGTAAACACATAGTAAAACTCCTAAATGAGTAATGTATTGTCTTTTATCATGTATATATGTAGAGATCATGCAAATATGACTTTTTTGTGGAGATCGCAATTCAATTTTATGTATAAATTCTGAGCTAGAAGGATATTTTGTATTTTAATAGTTGTTAAGGTGGACACTGATGTAAGGAAACATGCAATTCAGCCTCCGGGCTGCAAAATGTTTTTAATCAATAAACCAGTCATCATAATCAAGTACAGTCAATAAATTATATTAAAATTAGCAGATGACTTTAGATGATTTTAGGCCTTGTTGACACAGTGTTGCGTCAGGTCAAAACTACGTGTATGCAAGCATTGTCCCCTCTTGTGTATTCGACAAGTGTTTTTACTTTGAATATACCGTGCATATCACCTACCAACACAGATGGGCTCCTAAGTCTTAGACTAGACGGTTGTGAATTCCTTTTGCACCCCGCAGCGCGGTAAATCCGTTACTGAAAGGATCATGAGAAAGGTTTTCTGAAAGAAGGGCTGGGTAACTGAGCACGAAATTAAAGACACAAAGTTCATGAAACATTGATAGAAAGAAATATAGGCTGTCTAGCAGAATGTTAAGAAATCTTAAGAGTGGTCTTGAGTCCCTTTAGACTCCCCTCTGCGCTGCAGAGTACTGCACAAAAGCACAATAAATACTTAAGTTAAGGGGAAAACATTCGGGGGTTAGTCGCGAGGTTTGGACATGTAAGTCAGCCGAACATCAGTCAACCATTCGGGGGTAAGTCAGCAAATTTGACCCAATCCATGTGGCCTGAATCTGATCAGACTGTTCCCAACCGTCAGCCGAACGTGGACGGCTTGTGTTAGGATCCGCGGAGGCCAGGTCGGATGAAGGTCCTGAATGAGTGACCCACACGCACAATCAGCCGTGACAGCTTTGTTTTCCTCAACAGACTTTGGAAAACTTTGATTATCCTAAAAAGCCCTCCAAGTCAGTAGCCATTTGAAGGCCGTGCGTCTGAAGTCCCTTGTTCCTCGTTTCCCATCTCTGCAGAATCCTAAAACTCCAAGACAGTGGCAGAATGGATGAGCTCAGACAGAAGTGGTGGCCGGGAAGAAGCGGTAATTGTCCTCTTCACGGCAGTCTTCTAAACAGCGAGACAGCAGAGCTCGACCTGGAGACCTTTGCCGCCGTCTTCTGCATACTGATATTTGGTTTAGTGCTGGCCTGCACCACGTCACTGCTTGAAGTGCTTTGCCGGAGAAGTCGACGTCGCGCGGAGATGTCCAAAGGAAAAGAGGTGACTATTGATTCTTCTTTTCCGCTAAACACATCTGCACTTTTCCGCTCCGGTACATCGCACAGAATCTTCCAGCTGACGAGTTACTCCACAAAAATCAATGTGCAAAAGAGTGCATAATTGGTTACCTATACTTGATGGACAATCATTATGATGACTATCTTGTATCCTTATTCATTTTCCATGGAAACCCCGTGCCCTTACACTGATGGCATAGAACGAAATATAGAAAGACTGAAATGATTGCAGTCACAGGCTGTTGAAACAACTCTCCAAAACACAGTCCACCATCATCATTCATGTGCCTAGCTTTAACGGTGTAACTTGGTGAGATCCAAGGGCTGATAAAAGAGGGTGTCTATTGGCACTTTCTTAAAACAGCTTTCAATTTCTTTCCTCTCGTTCCTCAGGCCAGACTGAATGGTGAATTACAGATGGGTAAGATCAGCAGTAAGACGAAGACGTCACCCGGGGTCTCTGTCCACAGGGAAGACAACGGCGAGATCCACATCCACGTCTCCCCGCCGGAACAGTTCCCTCCCCCGCCTCCAACACCGTTTCACCTGGCGAGAACCTACTGTGAGTGCTGCGGCGACACGAAGAAAAACAAAGACAGTCCCGCGAGGAGGAAGTATTGTTTCTGCTCCAGCCTCGATCAAGAAGAGGGTATCTGGACCACGGGATCAACAGCTACGTCAGTAGATTCAACTACAGACACTGTACAGAATCCGGCCGATTTTACTACAAAGTTATAACTTTATTACAGAGGACAGATTTTATAATACAAATCTGCTATTACAATATCATATGTCCACGAAAGTACTGGTGGCTATGCTTCCATTTACACAGTCAGTGTCCAATATTCAGTCAGATTTGCCGGTGAGTTAATTTTAGGTGAAGGGTGGCTGGTGATATTCTCATTCTCATTCTCGAGGCCACATTATTATTAAGGCCTTGTTAATAAAGCCATCAGTAATTGCACAGATAAAGATTATAGAATTTTTATACTGGGACTACTAATATAGTTTCCTTGTTTAACTACAAAACTCGACATGATGAAGACAATAATGTATCAATGAGAAATAATAAAGCAATATATCATTTGTTAGATGCGATCTTATTACTGCTCGTTCCCAACTGCAATTTTGTTTTTTTCTTTCGGGGGCATTGTTTGAAGAATCATCTTTGAAGCAACGATTGGGTGAAGAATTGTGGATGTAAGTGTTTGACAGTTTTATCAGAAATAATGTTTCATGTTGGATCTTATTCAGAAGGCGTGTGATAAAAGGGCTGTACCCAGATTGAGTGCCACAAAACTAGCTCATGAAACTTCATCAGAACCGCGTTAAACACGGTCCGTTAAACGGCAATGTGCTCCTCGGTCGGTCCGTATGGAATAGTGGTGATTAGTACGACAGAAGATGAAAGGAGGAAGAAATGTTTCATATTCTCGTAACAGCTGCAGATAATGGTCATGAATGAAGTGGAGAGATCACCGGTCACTTTTTTTAAAGCGGAGTACTTCTTAACAGACTTTTACAGAGAAAATTATACTCTGGATGCTACGTATACCCTTCGACGGACAGACTTCTGGACAAAAAGGGATATTCTCGACTTTTAAATCTTGGCCCATTGACGGTGCAGTCAGACATGGTGATATAGCTACCATTCCGTGAACGCGAATTTTTGTACGGTGGTGTCGAGTTTCAAATTTTTCCTTTTCATCTTTTGTGTGGGGATGTGGACTCTCGCTTCATCAATTTGACTGTTTGTTCTTTCTTTTATTCTTGGTTAGTGTTTTGCATTGTTTAGTAATATTGGTTTTATTCGTATAAGTGGTGGCATTAACATAAGTTACCTAACTTGAGGCCGTCGTCACTTTGTCCTGTACCCTTATTTTGTTAATTGTATGCTGAAAAAAAATTCCGCCATTTTGATCCTGTGTAGGACTGTTCTTGTACCAGGTGTTGAGGAGTTGAAGGTCCTTATTATCATCAAAATAGAACAATGCCCATGTTATTCTTTTTAAAGACATCATAGAGTGTTTCAATTAGCGACATACTGGCGTTCTGGTATGAATTAGTCACCCCATACCAGCTCTCATCAGCACTCAAAATAATTTTGATCAATTGACAAAACGGCGAGGCAAGCTGGTTAACGCAAAGCACTTGACTGATGAGTGTGGTGGACCGAACAGCGGTTTGCTATTGACTACAATATCCGCACGACAACGATTTTCACTCTTCCTGGAACCGTCAGTGTGTAAGGCCACAGCAAGTAATTTTTATGGATGACATCCTCCGCAGACTCAGATTTGACTCAGTCATTGTACAAATGGTTTTGATTCGTCGGGAACATCACATATACACAGCCAGTATCACATATCACTGCATCAAGTAAGAAACAAAACATTAAATCAGAGCCTATTGTTGTCATCTCGAGCTCTCTTCATAGTTATCTGACATCCACGTTCCGGCATGGCAATAGACATCTTTGCCGATTTTCGGCATGTTGACCACTGTCAGAGGGCAACAAAATTTCTTTTTTTTCCCCAAATCAGGCGAAAATTAAAACGCGCGCTGATGTCATCAATAAAAATTACTTGCTGTGGCCTAACTAAAATTACAAAGTAGTGGTATCACCCAGGAAATTCATTTCCATTGCATTCACGTCGTTCGTCCCCGGAGCTTGTAACAACCTGTCATCGAACACAGGAAGGTACACATTATCTTAAAAGGGCTTAGAGTGATGACATCGGGACCTTTTATCAAGGGCACCTCTTAGGCAGACCATTAAATATAATCTCAAGGTATTTCTGAGTGTTTTGTTGGCCTTGTAAGTAGCAGCAAAAGATGCTGCCGCTGTGATAAAGTTCAGGACCATGTTGGGTAGATGCGACATTTAAACAGGGTAGTGACGTGAGAACCGTAGATCGGTTTGGTAAAAATTAACTGGATCATATATAGTAAAAGGTTGAACTTTATTCCAACACACAATTGTACAGGGATCAAATTTTCAGCGACCACTGTCGCCTTCATCAGGATAATTAATGACCAATCACTTCACAACGTGATCTCGCGAGAATTACGGTTTACAAACACGTGACCTTATTCACACGAGATTTTACTGATACGTGACGTAAGCAATTGATGAAGGCGACAGTGGTCGCTGAAAATTTGATCCCTGTACAATGGTGTGTTGGAATAAAGTTTACTTATTATTTACTTTTCATGATAATCTGGATCAAATATAGATATAGTGTTCGCAGGAAAACAGTTACATATCACTTAAGTTACATATAACACACGCACACACACACACACACACACACACACACACACACACACACACACACACACACACACACACACACGTATATACACATGTATAAACTATACTGATGGTTTTGAAGTCATTTACACGAAGTAAGTTAGCGAAGTTAAAAGCACTATGAAGCAGTATTGACAAAAAGATGTATTCCCATGGGGAATCTGAGAGCGTCTGTCTCATTTTTGAGTTTCCTGACCTGAAACAAGTTGAAGAATCTCCGAGTTAAGTACCGTGGCAGGGGTTAGAAATGCACCGATCGTTACAACATGTTCACTCCCCTCCCCCTGATAGCACTCCACCTTAGGTCATTTCCAAGTTAACCACTCCAAGTCCCGGTGGAGATGATATCGTCTTCTTTCCATTTAGCTCTTAATCCTGATGGATAGGCTGTCCAGGGGTGGCAGACAGCGGCCCAGGGTACGGCTCATCCTCCGACCCTTGGGGTCTACGATTGGATTGAATCTTCAATCACCCTTTGATCAAGGTGGAATGAGGGCAGGAGAGAATCTTTCTCACATCCAAGAATCGGAGGTATCCGTAAACGGGAAACATTTTCTACTTCGAATTCAGAATTTTTAAGGAATGATTCAACCATCTAAATGTCATTACCCTCCCCTTAACATTTAAGAGAGAGCAGAGTTAGTAGAATATTCCTCCATCAATGACGATTTTGAAAAGGTAAGAGAAACAGAGTTGAGACGAACATTGGACGTAAAAAATTTGGAGGTGTATCTTTCTTACCTTTTCAAAATCGTCACTGATTGAGGAATATTCTACTAACTGTGATTTCCTCTTCAAGATAAGCGATAGATGAAATGCCCTTTCAAGTCATTTGCAGCCTAACATCTGGCACATCTTTGAGGATGGGAGAAGACATGTTTGCAGAGTTGTCTGAGTGCGGTGATTTGTTAGCTCTGTATGATTAATGACTGAACCCTTGTAGATGCCTCCCCTCTCGGAAACTCGTAGACTCACTGGCAACCGTCTGTAGTAATCATTACTCATTCACACATTAACAAGACCACATCAATCAAGCGATTTCTTTCTTATCTCTGACGATGTTTCGACATCCCATGGCAAATATCAATTGCACATTAATGACGTTCAAAATAGGTGCATTAAAAGAATATAAGCCGTGCAGGGGCGATCTGTCCCAAAGAAACTAATGCAACGTTAAGATAAGCAGATCCGCTTGTGCTGACTCCGGGCCTACATGTAGATGATTGCGGTATGGTAAGATAATTCCGTGTTTTAGACTGTAAGCCTTGCCAACTGATGACAAATCACAGTAATGGCATTGAATCTATGAATTTACAATCCGTAAATTGCGTGGATGCTTTTAAACCCAACGGAAAATCTCACTGATGCTAAAAATTGGTCGTTAGTCATCGTACAGACGTCTCCTCCAGCGGGTGCACCGAAACACAAGTACACATTACACTAGTCTAAAATAGCAGGAAAATGTGAAACTGGAAACCAAGGCAGCCCACACTGGTATAAAATGGCGGGAAAATGTGACACTATAATTCTGCACTCGTAAAATCATCTTTGGCTTCTTTGAAAATGTCTGCAAATGGCGGAAAAATATGACACACAATTCTGCGCTCGCATAATCACACGGCTTCTCTAAAAACGTTTGCAAATCTCACTGTCCCTATAGCTGGTTTTAATAACAAGTACATGGACGTCTCAAAGAGCGACACGGTATAGTGAGAATGCGTGTTGGCGATGTAAGGACACACCAAGCTGAAGATACGTACCCGTATGCCGACTATTTGGGCTCAGAAGGACTGGCAACGACTTAGAAATATTTGTTGGATCAACTACAAAGGCAGAGCGTGAGAAACATATTGTAAATCTTGTATTTTTTGACACCATAATGTGGCGACCAGGAAAGCAAATTGTAGTCGTTAGCATGTTACTTTATGTCTAATGTATGTATAGTATGGTTTACTATATTCTTTCTAGGTATTGCATTAGAGGGAGTAGGTGTATTTTTCGAGGCACTTACAACTACCAGAATGATTTATTTTAACATTTAGCCAAAGATCGTATTTGCCAAAACGTAGCGGTAGGAATGTTCTATCAATTATCAAATGCGAGGAGCAACGTTACTAGATTATGTTGCCAGAGGATGCAACGTTGGTCGCATGTGTTACTGAGTGAAAATATGTCAGAGGGCCTTAGTAATATATTTCGACTCTTGTATAATATTTCCTCGCCATGTCTTGTTAAAACCGTTACAGGTCATCTTCGAACAGACCTGCATTACTGTAACATTGCAGTTAACTGTCCATCACTACAACGACAGTCAATGGCAACTTCGACCAACTAATTCTCTGAAGATTTCTAATCATTTTGGCAGCATAATTAATTTCACATGAGTCCATCTGCTGCTTAAACTGCGATAGAGTTTATCTCTTCTATATTTGGTGGTGGTGGGGTGGTGGGTGAATTTGCTGTTTCCTTCTCCACACTATTCAAAGCTTTGTAGTGAAGTCAGCAACGTTTTTCGGGTTCTCTGGGTCCGTGTCCGTCCTACTGTTAGTTCCAACAGTGGTCCATATGCCGTCCCGTATCCCCGGGCTGGAACAGAAGCAGTACTTCCTTTTGACGGGGCTGTCTCTGTTCTTCCTCACCTCGCCGCAGCACTCACAGTACGTCCTGGAGACGGGGAAGGGTGTGGGGGGTGCCGGAGGGTACTGGTCTGATGACGTGGAGGAGACGATGATGTGAATCTCGCCGTTCTCCTGCTTGTGGACAGACACGTCTGGTGAGGAGTCCGGAGCGGTGTCGAATTTACCCATCTGGACATCACCATTAAGCTGCAGTTAAGAGAAAAAACTCTTTAGCCTTGACTATCATGAAAGTTCATCTGTGTTAGTAGTTACATGTTTAAAGTTAAAACTTTTCTTCCAACACAAAAAGTTCTCTCACCTAGAGCTTTCGACCAGTCACTTTGGTCTTCCTCAGTAGACTGACCCAGTGAAGCTTGTCACGTGGCTTCTTTGAAGTGTGACGTCAACACTGGGTCAAAGGTGTCTCAACACATCCACATAGAGTCACCCGGACATTTTGTTTCATTTGACACTGTAAGGATTTTAGATACTGTTCAAGACTATTTCTTGAGAGGGGTGAAGGAAGCTATATACATCAGGGCCTATCACCCTACATTGAACCGCGACGGGAGTCGACATCGTCTACCAGATACCTTTGACCCAGTGTTGACGTCACGCTTCAAAGAAGCCACGTGACAAGCTTTACTGGGTCAGTCTACTGAGGAAGACCAGAGTGACTGGTCGAAAGCTCTAGGTGAAAGATTTTTTTGTGTTGGAAGAAAAGTTTAAACTTTAAACATCGTTAGCCTTGAATTTCAATTTTTGAAGACGAAGGCGAGCAGGCAGTTGTCATGATATTTGAGTTAGTGTAACCCAAACAGTTCAGCGGCTCACAAAGTTGTTTCTGTGTTTCATACAAACGTCTCATCCATCGGGACTATGGGTACACTGAAACACAATCGTAACACACCAATCTAAAATGGCGGAGAGATGTGACATCGATGCAGTTCTACATCAATGAACTTCTACACTGGTATGAAATAGCGGGGAAATGTGACATTATTCGTATTTTGAGCATGCAGACACAACGTAGGTACAAATGCTTGCCGGATATAGAATTAGCTTATTGAAATTGTAATTTATTAGCTTCAAAATGCATGAAAATGAACTGGGATTATTCACGAAAAAATTGCAGCTTACTAACCTTGAATAAACACTAGGTAAATTTAAAAAAAATATACAGTCTCTTGTTTAAAACAAGTCAAGAATTAGAAGTGTGTCTTACATATAACTACATAATACAGTCAAACCTGTCCAAGCCGACCACCCGGGGGACCAAAGAAAAGTGGTCACCTTGGACAGGTGGTCTCCTTGAAGAGGGTCGCCTCACAACATGATTTAGACACAAATGGTTTCCAAGTTGAGATGTTTTAATGTTTTAATGTCAAATGCTGTCAGTTCTGTGATGAATGCATGGAACAATTTCCGTCGAACAAAAACACCATCCATTCTCCATAATTTCTCATTAGTTACCATCAATAATCAACATGACTGAAAATGATGTGGTCACCATGGGCAGGTAGCAGGCCTTGAGCGGACCAAACTCAGGGCAGTCGTGGTCGTATTGGCCAGGTGGTCACCTTGGACAGGTCGCTTAATGCTTGCGTCAATGGGTAAAATTTTTGGGACTGAGAACAAACGGTCGCCATGGCCAGGTGGCCGGCTTGAAGAGGTGGTTTGGCAGGTTTGACTGTATTAAACAGGTTCAATGTTTGCCACATTTTATCACAAAGATGTACTTTCAGTACCTCCTGACATTTGGACTTCTCTGAGGTCCGTCTACATGCTCTTCTACACAGAAGGTCACACAGAGACACCGCACAGGCCAGGACTATTCCAAATATCAGAACACAGAACACCACGGCAAAGTTCTCCAGGGTGAGAGTGGCGCTGAAACCAGACGTGTCGTCATCTGGAAGACTGGTCAGTACGGGGCACTTTCCGCGCTCGCCAGGCCACCATTGATGTCTCAGCTCATCTAGCCTGCCGGAGTCCTGCAGTCTCAAGATTCTGAAACGGACACAAGACGAAGTCAGTCATCAGTAGTCTCCACCAGACTTCTTTTGCGGTTCTTTTGCGTAGAAATCGGCCTAAAAAGTCTTAATTGGCCCGAGAAGGTAGCCGACCAGAGAAGCTCCATTTCCCCGCCGAGAAGTCTGTGAGATCTCGGTATCCTCTTTGAAGTCGGCGGGGAAATGGAGCTTCTCTGGCCGGCCACCATCTCTGGCCAATTAATACCCTTTTTAGGCCGATTTCTACGATTTATTCACCCCGCAAAAGAAGTCTGGGCCTTCGATTGACTTGGTGAAGTTCATCGCGCGCATTAATTTTCGCCTGCTTTTGAAAAAAAATTGTTGCCTTCTGAATGTGGTAAACATGCCGAAAATGGGCAAAGATGACTCTCGCCATGCCGGAAGGTGGATGGCAGATAAATAGGAAGAGAGTAGACAATAAAAGGTTCTGATTTATTGCTTTTTCCTTTACTTTGATACAGTGATGTATTTCATTCCTTTTATATGTCATGTTCACTGAATCAAAACCATTTGTACAATGATTGAAAACTTGTATCTTTTGGTGACAAATGGATGTTGTAACATTTGGCAGTAAACATAGCACAATATAAGTATCATTTTCTGTTTAACAAGGTTTCTGAATGTAACATTTGAAATTGCTTTTTCCGCCCTATCGCATTAGATTTGGAGTCTGCGGAGGATGTCAGCAATACAATTTACTTGCTGTAGCCTTTAAAAAACTTACATCATGTAAGTCTCATTCTCATTAAAACCACATGTACATTTCGTCCTTAAATCATCTCCTGTGGAAGTACAGTGTACCATAGTAAATGATACTTATAATAACTATGCAGAACACAATTTCCGAGAACCTATGTCTGCTAATAACATCAAAATTTTGTTAATCTTCAGACATCTAAGTACTACTGGTCTTAGATTGAGTAATCCAGAAGTGCAATCAAGAAAGCAATCGCTGTGATTAAAGGATCACATTTCTATTCACCCATTACGCCAAGGGTCCACAGAGGAAGCTTCGAATCGCAGCGGGAGGTACTTACGCCATGGAAAATATTTCCGTAAATGCCGAACCGTTCCCAAAAGCGATGCCGTAGCCGCTTCGGTACTTGGCAAAGTCGATAACAGACAGTTGGCATGTGGGATCGCGGTCCGCAGCGTATTGAACGATGGGAAGATCCGCTATCAGCGCGTAGGAATCTACAGAAGATAAGACGATCGATGGGGAACAACATTAACAGCTTTTAACAAAGTTAACTTACCATGCTGGGGCCATGAATCACAGTGCACAGAATAATGAGCTGGTTTTATCTCAATATCTGTGAGAGGAAGGCTATTTCAAGACATGGCACTTTTCATGCCATGCACGCTGGCGTTTAGTTGAATTGGGATATGGATATTCTAATGCTTCAACAAGGCCTCAGAATTGTGTGGCTTTGACTTCTCTCTGTCAGGGGGTATCCTTGCGTTTGCAGGCAGCGGCTCCAAATATAACTCATCAGGGATATGGAAATACAGCACGGTTCTCAGCGGTGCTTCATCATCAGACTTGCACTTAAAAGTCTCAAAAATTCTAACTCAGGTGAAAGACACTTAGGCCGTGTTCATGTGAAGTCAGTGAAGGCGCTTCACATGTGGTTTAACCAGAAGCCGGTTTCAAGTGGCTCCATCTGAACGCTCCAAATCACATTGAAAGCGCCTCGATCCCAAACCACTTCGAGAGGTGGTTTCGAACCGGTTTTCCCGCATTGCGATTTGCGTCTGAACGCAATGTGATTTCAATGTAACTTCGCCTGGTCATGGATTACGGGGTGATATTTCTTTATTTATATGCAATACCAACTTTTACGTGGCAGCAACTTAAAGAGCAGTAATGGTCAAATAATGTGTCCGTTCTAGGATGAGCTTCACCGCCTCTGGCGGGACTACGTCGGCATTCGGCCGAGATACGCTGGGAGGGGGGCATCAGCAAGCAGGTCGTTGACCTCTGACATTGATAACACGCTACCTTGCGTGTTTTCATCAAACAGCAATAAATGTAGCTCAATCGAATTGTGATCGGACACGGTTTCAAAGGAATGTGTGGCACATGACCAGATGTGAAGAATGCAAGTTACCCGAATCGCGGTTTGGGTGACTTTACATGAACAATGCTTTATGCAAACAGACCTTGTTTTACACTCCGTATTCCCTCTTGTGTGTCTGATACAAGACTACCATTACTGGCAGTGAGCAGAGACCACATGGTCTGGTGTGACGGGACGCCTGACGTGGACAGAAAGTCAACCACGGCGCTGTGTCGAACTGCCCCGAACCTGGGAATAAAGCCAACAAGTCAAATATTAGCATGAAAGTTCATCTGTGTTGGTACAAGTCATTATGAAATAAAGACTAAGCTTTAACTTCCAACACTTTGATTACGGAATTGGGACTTACCCAAATTTTCGGACTTCTTTGCAAGAGGAGTTAAGGAGGCAGTCTACATAAGAGCTCACAGACCTACCCTGAACAGAGACGGGGGGCGACACAAGTTATCTGGCACGTATGACCCGCTACTACGGTCACGTGTCTCTGACGTCACGTTCCAAGAGTAGACAGGTCCATTCCGTGAACAAGGTTGATGGAGTCAACCGAAAATTTGGGGTGAGTCCCAATTCTGTATCTAAGTGTTGGAAGTTACAGCTTAGTCTTTATTTCATAAAGCCAAATATCGTTAATGCTACAAAGTTGTTGCTGTTATTTTTTAGTAATCATGCAAAATGTAATTGCTGTACGTAGTAACATACGTGAAATGACAGACTGTTTTAGTTGACTCTTAGTATAAGATGGCTAGTTTATCAACGAAATTCAATATTTATTTTACATACCCACTGGGTGAAGTACAATTAACGTTACTACAAATAAATTGTATATACATGTATGCCTACACATTATAAAGTTGTGGCAGTACAATCTATTAAGTAAATTTGACTTCTCGTCGCTTCTCTGTGAAGATTAAAGGTGAGCACAAACGTTTTACAATTAAAGGTTTGTCTAAACTAATTAGAAATGTGTGAATTTATCAGTAAGTGGTTGGGGCAAAGATGTAAACGTTTCTTACGATAAGGAGCCGTATGACAACAGTTCCTCTACAGATGTGATGGGAGCCTGTAGTCTCGTGACCGTTAAATACGCAGCAAGGTTGGCGGTGTAAGACGAGATGACAATCAGGGCAAACAGCCACCACACGCCCGTCAGGATACGGGCTGACACCCGCTGCAGAGATATCCCTCCGCCTTGAAAAGACGGGAGAACTGCTCTTAGTACAGTTCTCAAGAATGTGTTGAGCCATTGCCAATTCATGGCCGCTTTTCATTTTTATTTATTTATTTGGTTTTACCACGTACAATGGCATGGCGAAACAGGTGTTTCTGACATGAAACACCTTTTCAAAGCCGCCATACCAATAAAATGACAAAACAATACAAAAAAGGAATCACATCACATAATACAATTTGAGAAACAAATCAATAAACTTAGAACTACAAGGCAAGAACTACAACTTATTAACATTGTGAGAGTTATTGATTCCAGACAACAAATAACGACAGTTATATAGCCAACAGTGATATCACAGTTAGCGCGGTCTTGTGGCCAGACAAGTAGCGCAACCACAAAATAACTGCGACGTACAGGGTTGCTCTAAATTGTAGGTTTGGCAAAATCTGTTGTACATAAATGAGGAGAGTTTCCTTTTAGGACTCGAAGAAGAGGTTATGGTCAGACAAGGTATAACAACTTGAAGATACAGCAGAATTGAATATATTAGGAATAGGGTTTGGTGCTAGCTTTGTGAAAGCTGTCAAACCTGGTTTAAAATGCTCTTTACCTCAATGGACATTACCATAGTCATTCAATACCTGGCAAGGCGGTGGTGAAAAGTGCTACTCAATTCAAACCACCTTCCTGAAATGACTTTAGATAACACTCAGACATCTTACCAAGGCGGGGAACCTGTTGGAAAAGCCCTTGAGCGAAAGTGCCATTGGCGTTTCCAGGCTAAGTACTGAACTCCATTTCGGTAATACTTCTCACATTCCCTGGACCATTATCTAAAACACTATGCAGTGGGTGATCAACAGAGCATTATAGCGGCTGGCTCAATGTGATATTATACTTGACTGTACATTATATAAAGATGAACGCCAAGAACTACTCGATATTTTACATTCAGACAAGATATGCAAGAAAATGTCAAAGCAGGACATGTTTAAACACTTGATGTCATGCAAGGAGGAATGTACAGTAGACAAACTATGTAATTATGTTTCCAAATGTTTCAAAAAGAGAGAAGAAAGGGCAACTAACAGTTAGTATATAGTATTGTTATAATGTATAGATTCCTAGCAATTAGCATTAGAATATACCGTACCAGTATGCAATACTCATGTTTTGCATACTGCATGTCCTCTTGTGCATTTAGCCCATCTGGGCAAGAACCTGCAAAAAAGATATTCATATCATATCATTAAAAATAACGTTAAAATAGATTAAAACAACGTTACCTTGCCTCACAGATGAGCTGTATAGAAACCAAACCGTGTCCGATAGGGTTGAATCTGAAGTGCCGTTCAGGTTCAGATCTTCCCCCTTACGGTTTGTTCCAGCATGTTGTAGGTGGAACAAGACAATACTGACAATTGCGAATCCACCGATGATGCACAGCCACATCTACAGGAAATGGTAGACAATATGTCTAGTGCCAAAGTGACTTAAGGCAAGTAAAACTTTTATACTTAATACCCAACGATTTACAGTTGCCTAATGATTTATATTGCCGTTACTCTTGTATATACGAACGCTCATCTGTTGTTTTGTCATTGTCATACCTGTAATTTGTATTCTATGTCAGTGGTGTGATTAATATTAGCTTCGGCTAGAGTTTCCACCTCTGTGTCTTGTACCCTGTCTTGTACTATGTTGTTTCAATAAATAAATAAAAAAATAAAAAAAAAGAACTGGATGGACTTTCTGGTCATATTTCACCCTTAACTTCCCCCATAGCATACTGATATCTGTGAGCAAATATGGGAAGTCACTTGTGCCATTGCAGGTTCGCATCGTCGGTTGCTTTGGGCTTTATATAGGTGGTACCAAAAAAGGGACTCCTCGCGTAGCTTGTGTCAAATATATATTTTTTCAAGTATGAAATGATGACGAAGAAATTGCATTGGATGCCTTTCATGTGGAAGCAAAACTAGCAAGACTTAGTCGATAATGACATATGATTGCTTTCAGAACACATCGATTTTCCCCAGCGGATGGGTTTGATTGGAGTCTGTGTGTTTTATTTCGAGTTTTCAGGCAACCCAGCCAAGCTCAAGGGTAGTCCGTCTGTCAATAAAACCTTCAAACCTCGACACATTCATTTTTATTTCCGACAGTTGTCACGTCTGCAAAGGCAAAACAACGCTTCTGCAGTGAAGGACTCCAGACAGAGTAAGTACACTGCAACATTGTTCCCATCATTCATTCTACCAGACATGTAATCCTTTCTGCGCTTGCAGATCGAATTTCATGTCTTTACAGAATTGCATTTACATTCAATCTACGTTTGCCGGTATTCTATCCAATATATGTGCAAATTATTTGATTTTCCCCCTTTGAAGACAAATTGAATTTGCCGCTCTTTTATTTCCGATATGCCCGTTTGTTTGGAAGATTTGAGATTGGAACATTCAGATTTTGCCTTAAATGCTAGTCTGCTATATGTTATAAAACAAGCATTAAAAAAACAAACAAACAAACAAACAATCTTCTTATACTCTTTTGTGTTGATATAAGGACTTAGCCAATGTTGTCTATCATACCGTCGACCTAATCGTATGATGAGCACATATCAAGCCCCCTTTCTTCTGGACGATAATCAAGGAGCGACCAAAATTGGATTTGTGTGACCCGTTATTTCATAAATGTTATACGATGCAAGATGATTCAAAAGATAATGAAACTCACAAAACCTTTTTCACATCCATGCTCAAATTAAAATACAACAAATGAACTAGAGAACTAACATTTGCAAAGCTAATGCATAATGTTTACCTTCGGACATGGTCTGCTCTGTAAATTCGTACTCAAACATATTCACATACATGTAGTACTTGTATATGGTGACAGGAGCAGAGCAGACCATGAAATTGCAACATTATGTAACCCAACACCAGTCACCATGGTGACAGATGTCAACAAATCATGCCATTGGTCAGGTCATAGGTCACTGTTTGGAGAAGAAGAAGAGAAATAAACGGAGCAAAAACAATATGTTTTCCTTCGGTAATCATAATGAGTATACCTTGAGATGGAAAGGCTTGAGTATCGTTAACCAGTCCGAATGTCTGGGTTGTTTTCTGATGAGGATACCGATGGACCCCTCCATGAACAGTCTGGTGAAGTCCAGCACTTGTTCTCTTTCTGTTGTAACAGCGAGAGCCCCTAAAGCCAGGTCAGCCTCCTACAAACAAGGCACACGTAAATAAATATACTATAAGTATGTGTCATAACATGCAGGAAATATTTCAGTATGCTTCTTTGAAAATGATACTTATAATACACTAAAGTTGTATGTTCACATAGTTCAACCGTTGATAAAGAATGGTGATAACAATACTAGAAATATATTACACAATTTATGTTAATGAATTGTGTAATATATAATAAGGTCAAGACTATTTCTTGAGAGGGGTGAAGGAAGCCATATACATCAGGGCCCATAACCCTACATTGAACCGCGACGGGGGCCGACATCGTCTACCAGATACCTTTGACCCAGTGTTGACGTCACACTTCAAAGAAGCCACGTGACAAGCTTCGACCAGAGTGACTGGTCGAAAGCTCTAGGTGAGAGAATTTTTTTGTGTTGGACCAAAAGTTTTAACTTTAAACAATTCATGTTAATGTTGGATGTATTTTACAAGAGTCTAGTTCAAATGTAAACGCAAATAGTTGTTTCATACGAAGTATCTAAACCATCATTATGCCTTACTTCTTGTATAATGTCTCTGGTCATCCCATTCCAACTTCCGTCGTCCTGAAGGCTTCCATACCTCCCATCATGCACTTCGTACAAGAAGAAGTCGAACTCCAACATGGCGGACAAGTCCTTCAAAAGGTCAACGCAAAAGCCGCTGTATGTGACGCCATCAGACGAGTTCTTTCTAAACACGAAAGGCTGTTCCTGTAAAAGCAAAACCGTGTCGGCTATTTGTGGGGAGTTATATGTGTGGTGATAACTCAGGTGATTTAAAACTGCGGAATGATTCCTGAGTGGGGAAGTCATTACCCCAGATTTACCGAATGGGTTCCTTATTGACAAGGCTGGTGATAAATCTAACAAATGCATGGGTGAGGGGGTCTTTGATCGAAGTGAGGCACTAGACCAGAATTGATCGTACATTGCATCTTGAGGAAGTCTTGCAAGGTTTATTACCTTTCTCTACATGCCTGGCTTTTATTTCATTTAACATTAAGAGCAAAGGATAAAGGATATAAAATGTATCATTCAACACCATAGATGTTTCTCGGCTCCCTTGAAGACAAATATCTTACCAGTACTGTTACAACTCTGAACGTCTTTCCTTTTATCCCCGACTTTTTCTTCATTTCTTCGAAGAAGTTCTGCTCTGAAAGATCGTCGTCCTCCCACCAGATATCCTGAGAAAATGAAAATGTTATCATATTGATTTTAAAAGTCTGAATAGATGTGATATGTTACATGGATTTGATTGATTGGTTTTATATCGGAGAGTTGTAGGACGATGTAGTGCCACTATGTAGTAAACGTCAGCCCATCGCTATCAGTAGTCCTTCTCCATACTGTCAACCACGTTATAATGCGCCTATTTGTCACAAGGACCGGTTCAGGGTGGTCCTTATTCCTGAAGGATTTCTTTTTTTATTGCATTTTCAAGAAAGTATTACAGTTGTATGAATACAAATAAAGTATAAGTGGTGTACAAGACAAAAAAAAAATAGCTAGTGATCCAAAACAGTTTACAAACGGTTTCTAAGTAACGAGGTAATTGTGTAGTGTTCCCCATTTCCCCATATGTTTCTTTACTTTTTTTTATAATTCTGTGCAATAATGAACTCAATCTTACAATAAGTAATAACGAATTTAACAAAACCTTTTAAGGCAACTACTTTGGAATCTCTATTTCGGAAAATATACATTTTTGCTAGTAGAATAACTGTATTAACAATAGATGGACAATTATCTATGTGACCAAATATAACGTTGTAAAGGCTCAGCCTAACCGGGAAGTTAATTTGTTGATTAGTCCACTGTTCAACATCTTTCCAAAATTTTGCTAATTCAGAACAGTGTCCAAAGAGATGCATATTAGTCTCATCTTCACTTTCACAATATGAACATATTTTGTTGTCAGCTATTTTCCAATCAAATATGAAGGCTTTCTCTGTAGACCTCATACTGGGCGTTATAAATGCCTGGACGGTGGATTGTTACAGGAGTGTATCGAAATTCTGCATAGTGTCGTGAATTATTGAAGAGAACGAGAGGAAGAGAGAGCACTTCGCCATATGGCAGTCGATATTGAAGTAAAAATAACCCTGGTCTAGATTGATGACAATTATAACTTTTTCAGATAGATGCTATACACGTCTCCATTGTGTAATAAGGTATATATTAATTTTCTTACACACTATTTTGTTTACGCAATAAGGATCAAATCGCAATTAGCAATTGTTTTATGTTTCACTCTATAAGGCCACACCAATTAAATTTCTTGGTTAACGGATTTTTCTACAAGAATAATGGAGCGGGCGGGCGAAAAAAATAAAAACAGACCTAGGCATCCTATTATGGCCCAAAATGGTACGATAGGAGCCATGAAGTCAACACACCAGGCTGGTTCAAAATCTAAACAATGAATTTTGAACTTTTAATGATACCATTGCATTGAAAGATGGAATAACTGTAACAACTAGGATGAAAAGGACTGTTTTAACTGTTCAGGGCAAAATATGAGCATTTTGATTCTGAATTTTTATTTTTATTTGCAAATCAGAAAAATTAAGCGGGCGAATTCGTTAACCAAGAAATTAAATTGGTGTGGCCTAATGGGTCTTTTACTGTGCTGTACACTCATCATGGATATGATTACAATATGTGTGGTTCTAACAAAGGCACAGGTTTATGCAAGGTCCTGCATAATGCATTATGCAAACGTATCCTGGAACACTGTACCATAAAGTGGCAAAGCTACAACTTTTGGCCTCCCAAACACTAGCCGACCACCCCGCAACCATTCACCAATTTCACACTTCCCATAGTGCCTAGTAATGGTCACGGATATGACGTAAGACCACCCCTCCCCCTTCCTCGATGTAATATTTCCAACAAATTCTATCAACAAACTGGTCAATTATTGTTTGAATTATTTCTCTAGTATAAAGGGTATGCCATAGTTGCATTTTTGTTGGAATTAGAGAAAATGAGGTACCTTCTACCGTTCTACCTTCTACCGAAGACTCTCCTACTCACACGGTCGCATTACGTATATCAGAACGATAGAAGGTACGTCATTTTCTATAATTCCAACAAAAATGTAATTATGGCATGCACTTTATACTAGAGAAATAATTCAAAACAATAGTTGACCAGTTTGTCGATTGAACTTGTTGGAAATATTACATCGAGGAAGGGGGAGGGGGTGGTCTTACGTCATATCCGTGACCGTTACTAGGCATTATAGGAAGTGTGAAATTGGTGAATGGTTCAGAGTAGGTCGGAGGAAAGTCGGCTGGTGATCGTAAAGGTCGGCTACTACTTGGCTGCGCCAGTCGAATGTTTGTCCGGGGTTGGTCGTTAGTTCGGCTGGAAGTCAGCATATCATCCGCCAACTATTTGGGAGTACGTCATCAGTTTTCGGGGTGTACTCGGGGGTCAAATTTGACTCAAATATGTTTCGATTCACATATAAAGGTAGCTATGTCCTATAAAATCTAGACAGATTGCATCCAAACGTGTTCGAGGGAAGGGTCTGGATATGTGATAGGGGCTTAAAGTACTGACTCCCAAATACATTCATCTATAGATTTGTAATGACATGAACTTTATGAGAAAATGAGAAAATTCAAGAGGTCAACCAGGAAACTTCGATCAGTCTATTCTCCTCTGACAGGAAAAAGGTCGGATTTTTCCTATTACAAGTGAATTTTGAAGTTTAATGAACTAAGATGAACTTTGCTTTACCCAAGGGTTGTCGGTAATTTCGCCAGCAAGTTCTGATTGCAGAGACTTCAAAGTGGACAGGACAGATGAATGGTAGTTGACTTGTTCGAAGATTGAACTACCCAGCACACCGCCTGTCCCAGATTGCTGAATGGAATACATAATGGAAATATTGATTGTGAGGCAGCATTGATACTTCTCGTACAAGTAAAGTAACGTTACAAGTAATATGATTAAAAGGACAGGCAGTAATTTAAAAATTGATTGTTTTTAGTCAGCCATTTTGCTTCATTGTACGACTTTCATTGTACTGGTTATCTACAATTATGTTAAGATTACTGCTGAAAATATGACAATTTCATGATGCACGGTCGACTAATACGCTTATAAACGACAAATGTGAACCCAGGGTCCACATACAATGAAGTACTCCCACTGTGGCTCTTCCGGCAGCTTGAATAGTGAATTGACCCCCATAAACACATAAACATCCCAGCCTGTCTAGTCTCTAGCAACAATGACAGGGAGAGATTAGCATAATACCGGTCGATCGGATTCAAATATTTTTCCTTACTGGTTTTCAAAGTAACATCACAAAACTATGTAGAATGATCAAGATAATTGTACCCAAGTCAAGTAATCAAGAAATTAACTATCAACAGCTTCCAGTCTCTGGAAAATCAACCCTGTGTTCAATTTCAACTTTATAAAAGGCCCTATCAGAAATGTCTATTAGTAGATACAGTATTTATATTTGTAATTTGAAAATGTCTTCCTCACAGCTGAATTTGCGTCGACAGTCAGGGTGTCTAGAAACATGTCTTCTAATTATGGTGTCCATTTGGTAGTCTATAAGAAAACAGTATACATGTAACCCCCCCCCCCATACCTTCTTGAACTCATCCATCAAGAGTGTTCCACCAGACCACGGAAGTGACACGTCCAGGGAACATCTGTAACGTTGTGATAGAAAACTTCGTTAGTGAAGCGAATAACAGCCGGCACAATTGATACCAGTATAACTAGAAGTAGAGATATCATTCCAGTGTTTATAGTAAGTTAATAGAATATGGATATAGATCGAAAATTGAGGGAATGGAACTTTGTGTGTATGCGTTAATATGTGTGCGTGGATCAGTCACAATGTCCGTGTATGTGTATGTGTGTGCGTATCTGTGTGTGTGTGTGTGTGTGTGTGCGTGCGTATGTGTGTGCGTGCGCGCGCGTGTGTGGCACGTTAACGTTCATAATGTCCGGCTTTGAAATATGTCTGTGCGTATGTGTGTGCTGTGTGTGTGTGTGTGTGTGTTGTGTGTGTGTGCGTGTTTGTGTGTGTTTGTGCGTGTTTATGCGTATGTGTGTGGCTGGCTGTGTGTATAGCACATCCATATGCCGACACAGTGAATGACAGAGTACCTCAATTTATTGGGTCCAATCCACTGCCTGTTTTTGAACAAAGTGTAGACAGCCTGGGCAAGATGCAGCACAGCATCGTGCATGTACAGAGCCGTCATCTAAAACAACAACATTCAAATCATGACTTCAACACTTTAAAAAAATGTTTTAAGTTGAAACTTTTGTTCCAACACAAAAAATTCTCTCACCTAGACCTTTCGACCAGTCACTCTGGTCTTTCTCAGTAGGCTGACCCAGTGAGGCTCGTCACGTGGCTTCTTTGAAGTGTGACGTCAACACTGGGTCAAAGGTATCTGATAGACGATGTCGGCCCCCGTCGCGGTTGATGGGCCCTGATGAATATGGCTTCCTTCACCCCTCTCAAGAAATAGTCTTGTTCAGTGTCTAAAATCCTTACAGTGTCAAGTGAAACAATCTACTGAGGAAGACCAGAGTGACTGGTCGAAAGCTCTAGGTGAGAGAATTTGTTTGTGTTGGACCAAAAGTTTTAACTCTAAACATGTAACTACCAACACAGATGAAATTTCATGATAGTACTTTAAAAATGACTGCTATCTTCGTATCTATCAAACTCCGAGAGACATTGGCATTACAGTTGGTTACAGATTTAGGTTTGATTGAGAGTGGGAATAGAAATAATCTTCAGTGCAAAAGGAGACTTTGTGATGCAATCTAGAACTGATAGTCTCAAGTGTGTGGTAGATAACATGTTTTTCTTCCATTGCGTAAAGCATTAATTCTGTCTAATTGGTCCAGTTGGCTATATGACTGCAACTGTGTTACTGATACGATTTAGACACCACGTACAACCACCGATGGTATACACCGTGATGTATTCTCTAGCGTGTGCGTATTATGTATTTTCTTTAAACAGAACCAAACACAGCTTTGTTAGCATTTAATTTAACATTTGAATGTCTTGGGGTGGTGGGACTACGGCGCACAGATATGTCAACTTTGTATATTTAAATGTTAATTGTACTTTTTTGTTATGTGGCGCTGTTAATATAAGTTGTTAACTTGAGTGCAGCGTCACACTGTCCTTGTTATGTTTTCATGTTTTGATGAAAAAAAAAAAACAACACAGCGTCTAACCCGGACCCTCCAAGTGGTGTGTCTATCAGCACTCAAATGCCGTCTGCGACCACGGTGCTGCAACATGCTAATAACCAAGCCACTGCCCGTTCGCAAGGTGAGGACTTGTTTTGAAATGTTCTTTGATTAGGCCACACCAATTTAATTTGTTGTTTCTCGGATTTTTTAAGAAAAAATATGAAGCGACAGGGCGAAAAAAAAACAGGCCATGGCACCCCATGATAGCCAGAAATGTTACAATATGAGCCATGAAGTGAACATATCAGGCTGGTTTATAAGTAAAGCAATAGATTTTGAACTTTTAATGAAAAGAAATTGCATTGTGAAAAACGTGAAGAACTAGGAAGAAAAGGACTTTCATCAACCGTTGGGGCAAAAAATGTCTTTCATTCAGCATTTTGCAGTTAATATAGAACCAAAATTTCTTTTTTGCAAATCAGAAAATAATTGACAGGGCGATTCGAGAAGCAACAAATTAAATTGGTGTGGCCTTATTTCCGCGGGCATTGCCTACACCGGCTCTAAGTCAATTCGTGAGGCGCATAAAAAAGATTGCTCTGCCGAAGTCCATGTGTGTGTATCCGGGTTTGAACCACGTGCTTTATCACATCCTACATGCTTTTAAAACAACCCCTGTGGCGTAATTGATTTGTGCTATTATTATACAGCAGTATAGCAATTATATTTTTCACGTAAAAGGTTTTATTTATCTGATAACCATGGCGTGTAATGACCCCATAGCCTGCACCGCATGTTACATGGTGATTTATCTGATATATTGCTTGAGGAAATAATACGCGATAGTAAAACTAGAATGGTAGAAATTTTCGATCCAACTTTCATATCATCTTTCCTCATCAGGATTGGCAGGGAAAGGTACTAAAGTTGTGGGTGTGAGACATATCTGTCAAGAGGAATGCATTTCATCGGTAAGGCCACACCAATTTAATTTGTTGCTTCTCGGATCGCCCTGTCAATTTTTTTCTGATTTGCAAAAAAAAATTCGTTCTAAATTAACTGCAAAATGCTCAATGAAAGACATTTATTAGCCCCAACGGTTGATGAAAGCCCTTTTCTTCCTAGTTCTTCAAGTTTTTCAATGTGACAATGCAATTTCTTTTCATTAAAAGTTCAAAATCTATTGCTTTAATTCTAAACCTGCCTGGTACGTTCACTTCATGGCTCATATTGTAACATTTCTGGCTATAATGGGGTGCCTTGGCCAGTTTTTTTTTCGCCCTGTCGCTTTATATTTTTTCTGAAAAAAAAATCCGAGAAACAACAAATTAAATTGGTGTGGCCTAATGCTATTGAAATCAAGTTTTTCACAGTATTTAAACGCAATGTAGCTGGTTGATAATGTTTGTGGTAAACTCATATACAAGGCAGGAGATATTTACTTTTACGTCATGAATACTTGTTACTGCAGAAGTCGTGACGTTTCTCGGCAGAGATTTCCAGTGTTGTAGAAAGTCGTCCATGTAGTCTGTGTCCGGAATCTGCCTGCGCGCCACAGTCAGCCGGCCTTTGGAAACGTTGAGAGCCTTGATGTGATGGTCGCTGACTTCCTGAAAAGTTACAAACGACAGTCGTTGAAGAGGTTCATCAGTTACGTAGAATTAACAGTTAGTAGAAATTCTTCGATCAGTGACTGTATTTTTGTAAGGTATTACGTACCTCCAAATTTTCGATGTCCATTGTACATCTTGTTTACGGAGTGACCTAGTCTCGCGAGAACACAAGTCTCGACCTAGTCTCGTGTTCTCGCGAGACTAGGTCACTCCGTGAACAAGATGTACAGTGGACATCGACAATTTGGGGGTACGTAATCTACCTTACAAAATACAGTCACTGATCGAAGAATTTCTACTAACTACAAACGACAGGTATGTTAAAAGGTAAAGGTACTTCCATAGCGTTTTTGAGGCCGAAGAGACAGCGGGTTGTTAATCTACTGTGTCTAGCGCACGGTATATAGAGGACAGAGCCCATCCCTCTCCTTCAATTCCATTCTAACACCCCAATCGAAATCAGATACACATTGCACACATGGGTGGACTCATGTGAAGTGCATTTCACAAGGACAGCTCGTGCCCGCTAAACCTAACTACTCGGCCATCCGACGCCACACCAAAGTGTCAATTACATTCAAATGTTCCCGCCCTTCTGTACCATAGCATCACGTCCGACATATAAGTCTCATTGTATGAATGTAGCAGTAGCTACCATGGGGAGTGACGTCTGTCAGAGTAAAGAAAGACCTCAAATGATTTCCCTTGCTTCCCCCCGCATTCCTGTCAGAGGTGCTGAACCCATTAACGCCGATGACTGTACAAGTTTGACAGTACCAAATGCAGATATTTTCACCAATGTTAGATAGCTAACAGAGCGCAAAAATATCATTTTAATACTTTCCTGTCTAAGAATATAAATGTGTCCCTTACAGGAGGCTTATCTACATTTGTAAACCGGACTTGTATTGGTACATCAATCATCAGGGCTTAGAAGGATTCATGCCACGGCTGGCTCGATACTAATGGGATAATGACAATCCTCCGGTAATTTTACAGAGGCAGTACTCTCGTAATGTCAGAGCTTTTGATCCAGGGATTTAGGAGGAGCTTCAACACAAGACATTGTACCATTAATATCCCTGGTCTTGAATTGTGTGAACCTTAAACAGACGTTTGCTTTCACGTAGTTTTCAGCACCTGATACATCATATGTCGCACCATGTACCGGTGGGGTCGTGTGGCGCAGCGGCAGCATTCTTGAGTCGGAACCAGAGGCCCCGGGTTCGAGTCCTGACATGCCACCGATCTTGTGCTATTGGGAAAAAGGCACTTTACACGACTTTCCTCACTTCGCTCAGGTGAAAATGAGTATTGTATTGTCCCCTGTGTTGGTGTCGGCATTAATATAAGTTGAAAAACTTGAGTGTGTCGTCGCCACTTCTTGTGATTACATATTTCGGAATAAAAAAAAATGTACCGGTAAGGTCTACAAAGGTGCACCGCCAATAACAAATAATGTCTCATCTCCCACCGACGCGAGTACAAGACACCCGAGGGGATCCAGTCATGTTATTGAAAATTTAAGCCATATTTCGTCTATGGATACTGGTGGTGTCATCTGATGTCTTATGATTCAACGCCTCTGGCAAAGGATTACAGGTGGGAAGTCATGAGTTTCTGTCTGCACGAGATAGAATCCTACAGGATCAAAGTAGAAGTAAATCAAGGACCTTCTTTAACCACAGAAAAGTTATTGATTAATGAGTGATCCCAAGGGATGTTTCAAATGGTTGATGGATTGGGCATGTTTTTTGTTAAACAATGTCTTAATCACAAACAAAATCTTTAGGCACCAGTCCCAAGATAATGTGCTTGGATAAAGCTCAATTGACCGGAAAATGACAAATATGAATAAAAAGTTTGAAACCACGAGTCATGTCATCCATTCAAACCACATTAAATAGTCTACAATAGCGCATTTGTGCCGCCTCCATAGATATGGCTTCATAGTTACATGCCTTGCATAGTTGCACAAATGATATTATATAAAGCCCTTGGTTGCACGTATACATATGGATCATTGAAATGAATGTTATTGCTGGAATTATGTTTCCAGTCAAATCGATCGGCTTTAGGTTGATAAATCTGCTTAGTTTTAGTGTTTTTTTTGTTACAAATGAATTCGCTACATGCTAGCATTTGATTACAGTCTCAACATAATCGCAACATGTCGTCTCCAAGGTGAAATGTCTAGACAATGGGCCATACAGGTGATGTACTGAAGATGACTTGGTCACGTTCTAAAGTGCAGATGTATCAGTCTTCTAATCGATTGTAAGGGTAGGACGCATTACTCAATTAAGGTTATTGATGTTTCTACGCATCCAATCGTATCTAGGTGTCTTGGATAATGTATCTCCTGTATGGGCAACATTGAATCACCATTTAACTGAGCTGACATACTGTGTCATTGCCTTTAAACGATCCACAGTTACAAGTACTCGGCGTATAGAATCGCTATATGACTCGCCACAAATGATTATTGCGGTGCTCACACACCATTTCACACTTTTCCACGTTCCTGCGTGATTCTGAGAAATCAATGAGACCTGCCGAACATCAGTAAAAGTTTATACGACCTTGAAAAATATTTCCCGGATCCTATTAAGTTTTATTTCCCTTATGGAAAGCGTAAAGCGTTCTCCTCAGGCCATGGTATCAATATCGACATATTATGCCGATAAACACCTCTATCACATCTCGCGTCGATGTGTTAAACATTTTACAGCCCAAAATAGATTTCATCGTACTAATTCATCGAGTCGATAAATAATATGCCTGACAAAATATCGTTTCTAAAAATCCATTAAGGTTTGGTACAAACGATCGGCCTTCGACATGCTAACAAGTCAATTACCGATCACCACGAGGAGCATTTCCTATCTACTCTGACATGGATCTTCTGAGGAAAAAAGAAGTAAAACCGCCAGTAAGTTGTCCGTTTTTTTATGTAGGTTCGATCCAATAGTGATTGCTCTCATTGCAGTCGTGTCAATGCAAAGACACTTTATCTTGCTCCTGACCACGTCCACTTTTGATTGTCTGAGTCTGATTACGACTGGTTCTGTTTCAACATCAATCTCCATGCAGGTAACTTGATCTTTAACTTATCTCTAAATAGATTTGCGTCGGTTGAGCAACAACAAAGAAACGCTAGAAATAAAGTCAAATGTCCTTTCGTCACACCTTTTTCTTTACATTCACCACGAAGACACAAAAACGAAAGATAATCTCACACGGTTCCCTGCCCTCGACAGGCAATACCTGATTTATATCTGATGGTCTTTCATCGCAGACGAGTCTTGCATCACTTACGTTAAGCTAAGGGAAGTGTACATCGATTTTCTTATCGGTGCAGCTTCTTCAGAGGCTTCTTCAAAACGAACTCAGTGAGTCGTCACAAACGTCTTATCGACAATATCTCTTGGGTCATACGTCTTGACGATAGCTTTCTTTTTAACTCATTGACCACAGTAAGAGCCAGCCTGTATTCTTGGTTTAGTGATTGATTAGGTTTGAGGAAAAGGTTAGCCTTCGGGCACATGTTTATTATCCAAGCTTCGTGGCTACTGCCAACTTCTGACGAAATGTTAACCCAATATCTGAAAATATATGTCACTGATCACTACAATAATAAACTTGCTACCCATGATCAAGAACTCTGTATCATATTAGAAGTATTTTTTACAGTTTGGTATTCATATGAAACCACAGGGTACCCCCAGAACTATCCTTTACTGATGATTTACTAGTAATCGACCTAGCTTCGTGTCGATATAAGACCCATTCCGGCATACAAGCATGAATATTACCCATCTGTGTGCATATCACACGTATGCAGACCGTATATTTGCCTGTGAGGTGGCGGTGGAAGTCATACGTCTTGTACAGAGCAGGACGCGACGGAGGTTTCTGGAAAGATCTTATCATCCCGATGCTTCGTTCAGGCAGCAGAAAGCATGTTTCCTGTAGTCTTGATTCTATAAATCACAATTAAACTTGGCGTACGAACAAGCTGAAGCTGGAGACAATAAGCTTACAATCATGAATGAGCGTGAGGGTTTCTAGCAGGTTACATACTAACTTCCAATGCGATTTCGGAGCATCAAAACTGAAAATGTTCTGAACAAGGCAATCTGTATGATATTGACACATACTGCTCAACATTAGCACATTTCAATCAGTGTTTCATACTTTGTGTATTTAAAACTGCAGAAACAAGCCTCAAGATGAGTCCTGTATTTTATGGGTGGTACCATAAAAATCAGCCAACGTCCCTTCCAGTAACCATTTTCCGTAAGAATTTTGGGTATTTTTACTCCATTAGGGTCAATATACATTGGGATAGTGTGGTTTCAACTTAGTATGTAGAAAAGTGACTAGAATATTGACTTTTAAAAATTGGGATTCCAAGCCCTAAAAACTGCACTGGATGCCTCGATAACATGAAGTTATCGAGTAATGCCCTAGAAATTAGCATTTAGAAATTCAATACTTTCGACATTCATGATGCACTTTGGTCTTGCTGACAGTTCAGTAAATGCTAGTTGAAACGGCGACACACGGATGTTACCTGGGACGTCCATTTATCGATTGAAGCATGCGCTGATCTCTGAGGGACGTTGATTTTCTATCAAAGATAGTCACTCAGACGGAAGATACTACTCTTATCTTCTTGAGACAAAATCTATGACACCTCTGCCATCGACCCCCTGTCACAGATATTGACTTCACCCGACGTAAGGACAAAACCAATTTTGTCTGACATCAGAAAATACCACGATTGAGTACAGTAGGCTTTACCTGCCTTAACGTAACTATTGCAAGTACAAAAGCTTTTTACATCTCGTACGTATCACCAATGCTCTTTGACCAAGGGGGCAACTCCCTGGGTTTGCCAAAGTGATTTTCATCAACGTAGATAGTCTCATGGGGTCTTCAACGTCTATAATTTGTAAAGACTAATCATAAAGGCCTCAGCTGGATATAAGTCTAGCACGCTGCTTACGTCACAGATTGGTGGCCATGAGTTGTTACGGGAAAATTACATGTGACAGTTTGGGAATTCCAGATGTATGGAGTATCACCAGGTGCCTTTTATGTTCTACCACCGCTGGTGTTGGGAGTTGGAAATAGGAGGTATGAGAATTTGAAATGTTTAGCTAACGAGAACCTTGGGATGTGACGGTGAACCATTGTGTGTGTGAATTCATGAATCCTTCTATTTGTAAGAAACAGGAGGAGCCAGTAAAAACCCTTCTGGTTCCGGGCCGGGGTTCGAACTCACAACCTCCCGGGCCCCAGTAAGACACTCTAACCGCTCGGCCGAAAAGGTCTAGACCCCCCAGTGTTACACTACTCCCCCTTTTCTTTTCAAGATTCGTCCTCGAATCTTCCGAATTCGACATCCCTGGAGCGGCAATCTTTGCCAGAACTCCCAGGGCCGGTGTGGGAACCACTGTAAGAAACAGGAGGAGCCAGTAAAAACCCTTCTAGTCCCGGGCCGGGGTTCGAATCCACGACCTCCCGGGCTCCAGAGCTTCATAACCAGACGCTCTAACCGCTCCGCTAAAAGGTCTAGACCCGTTTGCCGGATCAGTTGGTAGCGCCTATAAAACCCCCAGTGTTACATATTTTCACTACTAGCCCCTTGTAAACTAACGGCCTTCATTAAGCCAAAGGGGAAACCTGAAGTAAGGGCTTGGAACACTTGTAAAAAAATATTTGTATTAGGAGACTTTTCAGAGCAATCACAGTTTGAGTATGAAACACATTTGGTATCTGCGAAAAAAAGAAATAAAGGGAAACGCCGTGTGTATTACAATTGTACTTTAAACTTGAAGTCACTAAAAGTGCACTTACCTCATTAGAAACTATCCAGTGATGTTCTGGGGTGAATATGCCCATCTTATTTGCCTGAAGATTGAAAAGAATAGTTGAATGAGAAATGGCTCGATACATTCTGTACAGTGACTGCAAAAACCCAAAAGTAAGGACTATTTGAAATGAAATTCTGCGTAACGGTAACCAACATACATGTATATCTTTTGTAGTAGCCAATTGGACTATATGGCTATTAGTCATAGAGTCACTTCACTGTTATTGTTTTTTTTATTCGTTGACATAGAAAAAGGTACAAGACATGGTGGAGCCGCACTCAAGTGGAAAGCACTTAATAATATGTTTACGGCACCACTAAATAAATACATATAATAAAGAAAAAACAAACGCAACTTTGAGACAGACAAAACAATAAATACAGGAAATTCAAAAGCGCAAGTCCATTTCCCCACCCAATGATGAATGATGGCAAAGAGAGGACACAATACATAGATAACACAGGGGGAAATTGAAATCTTTTAAAAACGTTCTGATGTGGTGATAAAGTTTTGGGTAAGTGATAATATATTGGTGTTGACAACTGATGAGAATGCGGGACTGCCACGGAGTAAAAGGTCAGTTTTTGCGTTGTCAGAAAGAGTTGTAAAATCTAGGGTGTGTCCTATAAGCCTGGATAATTTGCCAAGGAGAGTGGAGCGTTGGGAGTTGTACATTGGGCAGTGGAGTAGGTAATGTGAGACGGTTTCACATTGGTATCCGCAGGTAGAAGCTGGGCTGTTCAATAATCCACGAGTAAAGAGACTGTAGTTCAGGCTGCAGGTGCCAATGCGAAGGCGTATCACAAAAGCACCAGAATAACGAGGACCGTGACTATAGTACTTAAATTTAACAGGCTGTTATTGTTTGTATGTGCGAATAAATAAAAGACAAAGAAACAATTAGTCTTTTTGTTTTGTTCCCGATCTTAATGCTCTTCAATTGTGTAGCAGATGTTTAGTGGGGAGCATTGGCGGACCTCACTGTTGCATGCATGAATCCCTGGTGTAATCCAGCAAAATGGAATCGGTTGAATGCTTACATCATTGTTTGCTAATTCATATTGATTATAACACAGAAGAGGACACCTGAAATAGCTAGCAGACTGTGGCTAAAATCATTTATAGTAAATCTACTTGAGACGTTAATTTTCATACATAAAGCAAATTTCAAAAAAACATACATTACCACAAAATGTATTGATACAAAATACTGCCACCATTTCACATGCCACACCGTCAGAAGACTAAGCTTTAACAAATCATGAAAACTCTTTCTTTTATCTTATTGCCACATCAAGATATGTGCACAAAACCCAAAGAACGCCTCATGTAAGTCACGTCTTCGACACAACTTCGTGAAAGCGTATGGATTTATGGGTCATTTCCTACATGTACGCAATCGAACTGAAACTGAAAGCTTTAGGAATTTGCGAAGAAAGTTGGGCGAGCCCCCAAGTTTTAAACCACGCGGACGAAGGAAGCTAATACAGAATAATGTCCATGACACGGCAATATGCGCCCCAATTTCAGGAACATGGAGATTAGTATGCTTCCATGGTTTTCTAAAGCTCTTTACTTCATGAATCACGGCCGCCATATGGTTTGACAAAATCGATCATTAAGTAACAGACCTTGAACGCCAAGACAAGGAAGAATCGTCGTCGTGAAGCACTCTGATCTGACTGTGCTTACCATTTGTCTATGAGTCATGCATATCGCTTTCGTGTTCTTCTAGTGTTTGATCGAAGCTTAGAGGCCTTTGCGCTGGTATGGTCCCTCGCAATGGTTTGGAAAAGGGTTGTTTGCTTTAATGTGCACTCACGAGTCGTGCCAAACTCCCACGTATCAATCTCGTACGTGTACGTGTGCAACCTACGGAAAATCAGACGGTCTTATTCACCGCTACCGCAGTCTGCATGATTGACCTTTGTAATTTGAGGATTGAGGAATTTTAATGTAGAATGGGTCATTGGGAATACACAAAGGGTTCTTACGATAATGATTTTGTTACACCCTATAATATATGACATGACATGACATAATATATGCATGCAGGCGGACCCCCCTCTTTCAGACCTCGCGCGACGTATCCTGCTCTGAATTTCTGTAAAATTCTCGAAATGTAATACAATGTATACGTAGCATATTAGATAAACCAATGCCTTATGATATCTACACCATCTCACTATCTCGTATATCACCAGGAGGGTGAAGGGTTTGGGGCAGAGTTGGATAAGGGACCTCTATGACCTCTGACCCAAAATTGCACGACCGCACAGGCAACTCGTGTATTTGTGTACAACTTCTGGCAAAATGTGTGAAGTTGTTCATTCATATGGCTCTCAAGTGTCTTGAATTCAAAATGAATTCTGCTAATTTAGTAGAGATGCGGTTGACATAAATTGAATATAGAATTAGGAAGATATAAAAAAATCACTCGCGACCAGAGGTTTTGTCCATTCTGTCCCAATGATATTGAAGACGAACAACATTTTATTTTGAATTGTACACTATATATCGATAAACGCACAAAGCTGTTCAACCTTCTCCCCGCCTGCTCAACAGAATTTGTTATATTTCATGCTATAGATAAATTTAATTTCATCCTAGAAGGTAATAACCCTCACTGTATACAAATAGGTAAATATATCAAAGAATGTTTAGACCTTAGAACAAGTAGTATTAGTTGATCCATCTATTGTTTTGTACGTAGGATAATTTTGTTGTACCCATGTATATTTGTTTGTATTATCTACATGTCTTAGACCTTACGAAAGTCGCTGTACTTTTGTTGTGTAAAGTTCTCTCATAAATCGCTTACCTCACTGATCACGCTGATCGTGTTTTCCACAGTACAGAGCACAACAGCATGTTTCAGCAGATGTCTTCCCTCAGTCCCAGGTTCTCTCTCGAGTCTCGGCAGGGTGACTTTGGTGTCGCTGCCGTTAGAGAGAGATGGCAGCCGGAGGAGAACGATCTCTGGAACTCTCCCCCGCGTCAATAGGAGGAGAGTCTCGGCCCTGCTAAACGCTGGGTTTAAAGGGAACAGACATATGTTCTTGAGCATTGTTGTGATTAAAAAAAGCTCAGAGAAGAGCACAGAAAATCTAGACCAATCTAATATGAGCCAGCAAATAGAAAACTCAATGTATCTTATCTATATTTGTTTATGTATTAACATGAAAGTTCATCTGTGTTGGTAGTTACATGTTTAAAGTTAAAACTTTTGGTCCAACACAAAAAATTCTCTCACCTAGGCACATCACCCTACATTGAACCGCGACGGGGGCCGACATCGTCTACCAGATACCTTTGACCCAGTGTTGACGTCACACTTCAAAGAAGCCACGTGACAAACTTCACTTGGTCAGTCTACTGAGGAAGACCAGAGTGACTGGTCAAAAGCTCTAGGTGAGAGAATTCTTTTAGTTGGACCAAAAGTTTTAACTTTAAACTTGTTTATGTATGTTTGTTTTTCAGGATAAAGCATATAAAAGCATTGTTTTAAACTAATATGATATCGTTTTATATTTTTTGATATATGTTACTATGCATTGTTGTGAATAAAAAAATACTAAAAAAAGAGTACAGAAGATCTAGACCAATCGAATATGACATAATTTCAAATTGTATTTGAAAAGACAGGTAGGGGCCAAATAGCACTGGCAAACAGTTTCATATAGTAAGGCGCAACGGTAATGTTTAATGTAGCAAGATGTTTGAATGTATACTCATCAGCATTATTCTACCATTTTGATTGGATAGTCATGAAGAAAAATATCAAACATTTGAATCAGACATCGCCTAATATACAAATGTATATTACAACAATATGTGTATTTTGTCTTATTGCTTACCATGTTCATCATCATACAGGACCACCATGGTCCTCCACCTCTGCTGCCTGATGATATCAGACAGAGCTCTGTCCACCTCAAACGCCGCTGGGTTCATACTCAGGGTGTACTTTGTGTCCGGAGTGACGTCACACGTGTCACGTGACACGAAGATGTGAGGTACGTGCATGACGTCACACACAGACTGCAGCATCAGGTTAGATGAGCAGGAGGTTGAGGACAAGATGGCGGCGACACCCTGGGCCATCAAAGAGCAGCCTGTTTGGTGTATAAAAAAAAAACACAAATTTGCATGTGCTCACGTAACGGTGGACTATCAATATTTTCCACAGTTTGGCCCAAACATATACTATTGTTATATGGGGCCAAAAATACCCGAAAAAAGGATTAATCAAGTCAAGTCAAGTCAATCTTTATTGCACAACATGGCTTACATGATAATGTATATGTCTTAAGTTCTATATCACTGTATAAGCTAGAGTGTACATCAGTTGGTTGAGTCCAATATTATATTATTTAACTAAAGCGTTGGATATATACTGGCCTATGTACAGGAAAGTTTCGTCGGAACATGACATGAGTACAGTAAAAGTATCTGAGATTGCAATTGTAATTCACTTCCACTTATCAAGACAGTTGACAAGTGGAATGGTAGTTATTTGCCATGGAGTGGAGATACAACTTACTTAGCTCGCTTCAGAATTCCAAATGTGCAGGAAGTAAGAGAAAAGGCAGAAGGGAACAGGGTTGCTGTAGCAGCCGGACAGGCTAAGCAGGGAATGTGGACAACCTGACGCTTTGGTATTTGATGTTAGGAGTGTTAGATCGTCCATAAAGGCTGTGATCCGTGGAAGTTGTTCCAAACCCTCGAGCGACACCCCAGGTCCCATCCGCTCTGCGCTCCTTCTAATCACCTCCATTAGCACAAACAAGACTGGTGATATAACACACCCTATCGGAATTCCTACTCCCAGTCTCTGCCACCTAGTTGTGTATTGTGTAGTTGAAAATACGATAATACCAAAAAGTCAATTTTTATAATAATAATGATGATGATGATGATAATAATAATAATAACAATGATAACAATAATAATTGCAGCCATTGCTGAAGTACGTGGACTGTTTACAAAATTTCTAACTACTACATCATAACAGCATAAGTCAGTAAAATATTAAGATAAAAATGGTGGGTTGGTGTCGAAATAGGTTTAAAACTTTACAAAGCAGGCTGTATCTCCACTACATGGCAAATAAGTACCATTCCACTTTTCAACTGTCTTGATATGTGGAAGTAAGTTACACGTGCATTATTATTTTCAAATAAGATATTTAAATATTAAGATATTCAAATAAGATACTTAAATTTGCTGTGCAAAATGTTACATAACAACACTTAAAGAAATTATTGTATTTGATAAGGGGGAATCAATCTATAAGTTGATAACTACTTTATTGTTGTGACCAGGGTGAAAAGTAGCAGTTGGTCAAAATATCTAGTCACGTTAATACTTAAATGCACATTTAATATATAATTATAAATAGAACATAGAACAGATAATGCCATAGATATTTTTATCTTGGCATGGACGTCGACTATTTGTATTAGGTCGGTAACATATTCCATGTTCTCGGCAAAATATGTAGGAGCTGACACAAACAAGCTAACCTGGAGTGCGTTTTACTTCAAGGCCGCGGGGAAAGAATCACGGCAATAAATAGGCAGACCGCCTCTGGCCATATTCCAAAGCCATTACAGGCAGATTGACTTCCTTCAGATGACTCTTGAAATGTCCCTGGCATACGTCCGCAAATTGTGGTATAATTGGCAGGTACGAGAGCCGATTATCGGCGGATTTAGAGAACACTTACGGCAGGAAATGACCAGTGATTTTCACTAAGACCACAGCAAGTAAATTTTATGGATGTCATCCTCAACAGATTCCATATCTAATGCGACAGGGCGAAAAAAAGGCGGGCCAAAAATATAAGATTATTTCATTTTCAAATTTTGACATCATAAACCTTGTTACACAGGAATTGAGACATATATTGTGCTATATGAGTTTATTGCCAACTATTACAACATGCATTTGTCACTAAAACTTTGAAAAATACGTTTTCTATTATTGTACAGGTTTAATGGGAACACCACATTTACACAGCCACCATCACATACAAAAGGAATGAAACACTTTACTGTAAAAGACAAAACAATAAGTCAGAGCCTTGTCTTGTCTCCTCAGCTCTCTTCATAGTTATCTACCATCCACATTCCGGCATGGCAACAGACATATTTGTCTATTTTCGGCATGTTGACCACTGGCAGGGGGCAACCGAATTTGTTTTTTTTTTAAATCAGACGAAAATTCATAAAAAAATTAATGCCAGCCCTGATGTCATCCAAAAAATTACTTGCTGTGACCTAATCGAGAAGTAACATCTTTTCCTGACAAATGATTCAGCGCTGTGTCCCCACAAAAGCTCAGCATATTTTTTTTTTCAAAATCAAGTCCATGCAATATGTTTTTTTTTTCCTTTACCATCGGAAGTTTGCAATTTGTTTGGTATAATGAGTATGATCATATATCATCATAAATTGTGCCGGAAGTATAGTATGATGTATGAAATATTAATGCATGTTTGAGATACGTGTCTGATCAGGAAATGGGCAGGTTTTATATCGTTGATATATCTAAAACAATTCATGTAAGGGATATCGAATAGCTCGTGCTTACATTTCAAACGTTTACTTATTTTCTTACCATCTGACGATCATTTTGTTTGTTTGTTTATTTATTTAACCAGGAAATACATGTCGCCTATTGGCGTTTTTCAAAGATTCGGGGGGGGGGGTAACCCCAACAAAACTACATGACATTATAATTATAACAAAAGATTTAAGATGAACTAACAAAGGTCAACTAAAAATAGATAAACTTATCGTGAACAAGACGAAATCGTAACTTACTCATCAACAATGAAATGAAATAAGGTAACATAGAAGTAATTATAATCGTTCAGATATCAAATCATAATGGTAGATAGTACATTGTTATTGCAATGTATTCTCCAAGAGGACATTTAAGCTCGTATGCTCGTACTATGTTCGGAAATAATTTGCTGTTTTGAAGCTTTGTTTTTTTCCTCTACAACATGAGCGTTGACGATACTTTACCTATACTTTACTTTCCTGAACTTCGTCTGACCTCAGAAGGGAAAATAAAATGGCAGAAATTATTACAGTCAGCTCATTTTCATGCCATGACTATCACGAGCACGCTGGGCTCCGTATATGCCATTATGATAAATGTGCAATTTTGCGACGGCTTTTATATATGGGTCAAATCGTAAAACCCAATATTACAAGAGTCATAACTTTTGTAGCCAAGTTTTCATTTGTATTTCAAATATAAAAACATAAAATGTTGCAATTCTTTTATGCACAGTGTAAACTTTTACGAGTTTGGCAGTGATATATTCCGACATAAACCTAAAGCCAGTGGTTTGGGCATGAGTTGGTCGGAGAACAGACGTCCCCAGGTGTATAGGTAACTATGAATAATGGAAGTGAACTATCGAAAAACGTTGACTTCAGCAATGGCAATATGGACTGTCTTGAATAGTGGAAGGGGCGCTGCGTCATAATAACAAAGTGCCCACGCGGAAGGATTCTAAATGAGAGAACGTTAAATTATGGACTCGCCCCCGAGGTGACCAAAGCTTTATCTTCCAGCTTCATGACTTTCGGATGCGAGACTTGCAGCGTGTACCGCACTCTATTATTCTTCCACCACCAAAATCAATATGCACTGGGCATATTGCCTGCCACACTCGAATGGCCGGTCATCTAGGAAGTTTACAGCAGTTCGTTTCAGGGGATCAATTGGAGCTGGAATGAAAAGATGCGACAGACCTGGCCCTGACCCAAAACGCACAATGAACCCAGGTCTTGTATAAGGCTTGTGATACGCAACGGGGCTGAAAAGAAGGGTTGGCCAGGAAAGGAAAGAAGATTTCAAGTGATTATCTCAGGATTATCTATGGTCGTTATATTGACTGACATTCTCACCTCCAATATTGGCAAATTCACATGTAATCCACTATACGATGTTTGTGTGCGCTGTACAAGAGGTAGACGTTTGCAGTTTGTACCACTATTAGTGATCCCAATGGTTAACTTAGAATAAGTCAAGAATTTCAGATTCATGGATGGCACCTTTGCAGTGGACCGCTACAAGTAAATCCGTATCAGTTTTGAATTTCATGAGTGGTCACGGCCAAACACGATGGCCAGTGAAGGAGAAGCCAAGAGTTCAAGCAGAGCCTAAAGTAACATCCTGGGGATGATATGCTTTACATAGTGGTGCATCATGGATGAGGATTGGTCATGGCATCGGGTGAAGATTACCAAACACTGCAGCAGCCAGGGGCAACATGGATAGTTCCAGGTCGAATCATTCTTGATATTTTTACATTTCGTGTGCAAAAGATGAGCTGATGCTACCACAGGCGAATGTTGATACTGGATAAGTTTCAGTTTCAGTTTATTTCCCACTTTAAAACAAAATGTAACAATACAAATACAAGAAAATATAAATGAAATGTAACAGTGCAGGGAGGCCGGAAGCATAAAATGCTTATGAGGAGGCCTCTCTTCATAACGTGATTAACAATTCAAATAAATCGGGAAAATAAGAAATAAATAGGTAACGGGTAAATGAAACAAAACAATAAAATACAATACGATACAATACTATCTACAATAAGGAAAAATAGTAATGAAAGTAGTAAACAAGGAAACATAAACAAAAATTAGGAATGTGTGGGTTATCTATGAAAGCTACTCTAATATGATTTTTGAAAATGGTGAAGGAGGGACTAAGTTGCTCTGGGAATCAATACGATGACAAGGAAAAAGAATTCAGATTGATGCTTCTAATAGCAGAATTTACAATATTGTCTTTTACTGTAAGTATGACGACATATTTGGTCTTACCTGAAATATGCATATCAAATCAACTTTATCGCTCAACAGCTGTAACTGGTACAATGTATTTCAGAGAATTACGGTAAATACATGAACTACAATAAAATACATTTCGAACAGAGTTAATCCATACTAACTGGTGGTAACAAGCATAAGCTTAGCCTGATCTCTTATTGTATAGAATGTTTTATTTGATTTTGTATAAGTTATTTTGTCTCTGCTGCTACCTTTCAGTTATTTAAATGGCTGATCAATTTG